AAATATGTTTGGCACCAGCTTGGCTGCAGGAGTTGCCTGACAGAGGTATATAGTTAGAAGCCAACTGGCCAGACATGTACATGGCTACAGAACTGCTTTTTTACTTGCAAATTGTTTTTTAGTTTAAAAATACTTTACCCTTCTCTCCAGCAAAATGATAAATGTGTTTTAGCGTCGGGGCAGCTGAAGCAAACCCCACATTCCTATAGTCATGTTAGTGCTATAATTTAAGTGAGTTTAAAATGTGAAACTGCAATACACAAAGAGTGTTTTGGGTTTTTTTATTAGGGTTGGTAAACCTCTAACCAAGTTTTTACTCAGAAATTACAGTGGTACCTCGCAAGACGAATGCCTCGCAAGACAAAAAACTCGCTAGACGAAAGGGTTTTTTGTTTTTTGAGCTGCTTCACAAGACGATTTTCCCTATGGGCTTGCTTCGCAAGACGGAAACGTCTTGCAAGTTTGTTTCCTTTTTCTTAACACCGTTAATACAGTTGCGACTTGACTTCAAGGAGCAACTCATAAAACGCGGTGTGGTAGCCTTTTTTGAGGTTTTTAAAGACTTTGGTGATTTTTGAAGCTTTTCCAAAACTTTCCCGACACCGTGCTTCGCAAGACGAAAAAAATCGCAAGACGACAAAACTCGCAGAACGAATTAGTTTCGTCTTGCGAGGCACCACTGTAATGGAAATTGATTTTGCTTGGTGTGCCCTGAGCCTGTCTAATGTTGGGTGCAACTCTATATTTTGTGCAGAAGCCATCCTGAAGTTTGGGGTGGCAACTGGGGGAGAGGGCAACATGAACTGGGAGATTCTCAACTGCAGCCATCTCAAGAGCCACCCATCTCAAGGCCATTAAGTTCTAGGTCTGAAATTCCCTAGTGCTACGACCACTGAGGCTGGATCTGTCTGGTGCCTATTGCTCCACTTGTGATAAGGAGACAGATCAGGCTCCAGGTCTCTCCCCTTCTGAGGCCTTTAAGTCTCTCTTTAAGGGATAACTAGAATTCAGACAGCTTGTGTGGCAACCATCTGTAATGCAACAAGGCTAAAATCTGAATTAACAGTTCATGAATTAACTGGAGAGAGAAATGGCCCTTTTTTGTGGACATTTTTGAAACTCTAGCATCCCTCTCTTTCAAGGAAAGGAAAAAGGAGTAATTTCCTGCTTCTGTGGTTGCTGAGTAATATAAGCAAACACAGACCTTTGAAAAAAGCAAGTCCCAAATTCATGATTGATTGATTTTTCTTTTATTAGTTACCTACCCTTTGTGGCAAGGTGGGTTACATTTTTTAAAAGTGGTATTTATGTGGGGAGGCTCACCTTAAGAGTGTGTGTGATTTTGGGGGCCCGTGCTTGCATGAGAGCATGGTGTCCAAAAGCGTGCGAGATTGCGGTGCCCCAAAATATGTGTTTTTTAGGTGCCATGTTCTTGCATGGGTCATGTGACCTATGCAGGAGTGCGGCCTGGAAGACACGTGTCTTGTTTTGCGCTGGGACATGTTGGAGGGTATGACAGCACCATTCACGTAACAAAAACTACCACAGATAACAACATTTTCAAAAGTAGGGGGTCCATAACTTGGCTTTTGAAAAACAGGGTCCTCAGTGCTTAGCTATGTAATTGGGAACCACTGATCTAGAGGCTCTCAAGAGGATCCTTATAATTTCTGAGCAGGCAGTATATAAATCCTTTTATATGTGTTAGTAAATAAAAAATGGGGTTTGCTAATACTTACCACCAATTTTTAAGCAGCCCTTCCCCAAAAGCTTCAACAAACAGCAGATTTAGATTATATTGTAGGAATTAGAAGCTGTGTGTGTATTTCGGAGGTTATGCATCATTGCAAGTTCAGCCAGCCAGCCCAGGAGGTTCCCTTTTAGCCCCTTGCTAGCCAAAGTGATCTCTAGGGTCAGGTCAGGTTGCCGCAAATGTGTGTGGGGGGGAGGGGGGAGAGAACATCAGTGGCAGCTGGACTAGTGAGGCCAAGAGAAACCTTAATGCACATTCCCAGAGGGCCCCCCTCCCCAATTTCCAATTGTTTCACTGGAAAATAAAAGTGTTGTGAGAGGCTTTGAAGGGGGGGGGGTATGATAGGATGCTTCCCCCTCCCCTCCCTGGAGTTTCTTTTCTCCCTAAACCTTCCAGTCCTCCAGCGGAGGACTTGCAGTCTTTGAGAGAATGTGTCTTTCTGGTTGGGAGTGTCTTGTAAGAAGGGGCTCAGGTCTGAGTAATGGTGCAAAGGGAGGAGTGTGGTGTGTGGAGTGGGGGTAGAAAGTGGAAGGCAACTGGCTCTGTGACCTGAAACACTTAGTCTTAATAACTTGCAATGTAGAAGGAAAACAGGTCTCTGTCCCAAGGAGATTCCAGTGGTAATAGACCAGGCTTCCTCCAGCAGTTGCTGGGGGATTGCAAGCAGATTCCAGAGCACATAGTGAAAATGACACAGGGGCATGGGGTGGGGACCATGCTGCAAGGTGGGCTCAGAGCCAGCTCCAGCACTGGTATTGCCCCTGGGTCAGGCTCAGGGTTTTGAGACAGGCTCCAGGGCAGGCCTGTTTTGTGAAGGGTGTGTGTATGTACACCCCCCATGTGTGCGTACACCCCCTCCTTTTGTGACACCCTGGCCATTGACCTTATCAGGCAGAAGGAGGGGATAGTAAAAGGTGGGTGGGGGGTATTTTGCCTTTGCCCTGGTTCCTCCTGTCTTTTGTTCCTTCTCACCCTGAGGAGTTAATGGAGAGCCTCCGCTGCGCCAGCTCTGCAGACTGTTTGGAATACTTTAAATGCTTTGACACTCTGGATGTGCTGGATGGGAGAGGAGGCGGTTTGCAGCTTAATTCATATGCAAAACTGTGCCATAAATCCTGAGCCCTGTCTCAGTTGCTGTGGCACCACTAAGCATTTCATCAGCGCCCCATACAGTATTTCTGCCATCTTTGTTTGCATTGCAGTGACTCATCAAAAGTCTGTCTTGTACCAACACCCTGAGCATTCCTCTGGCACTGATCCTTCTCTCCCCCCCCCCCCCCTTCTCCTCCCTTTCTCTCTCTCTCTCTCTCTCTCTCTCTCTCTCTCTTTCTCTCTCCCCTCCTTTTCTTCCGAGCTTCAGTTTGAAACTGGCCTTTGCTTCAGGTCTCTCGTCAAAGGGCTCTATTCATTGCAGAGAATGGCCTGAATGTTAAGCTGCATATCCGGCCCTGTTCATTGAGATGCTGCTTTGCGCTGCTCCTGCTGCTCCTGCTGAGGAGGTTTGACTTAGTCTGAAGCTGAAACTCCTCACAGCAGAAGCAAGGAGGACAGGCAGGAGGGGCTGAGGCAGGAAGGACTGAGGCAGGAGGGGGCACCTCCTCATTGTGCCCCCCCTTCCAAGCAGCCTTTGCTGCTGCACTGGAGAGTTGGGTGCTGAAGAGGGGGGTTGAGGAGACCCTTCCAGAAGCAGGTGCTGTGGATTTCACACCACTTAAGGTATGTTCACATGAGGGGGGCACATCCCTGCGCTGAATGCTTGGGCAATGTGATGCAGCTGCAGAATGGGGCTATCCTAGCTGGCAGCTTTGCAGGGGTGGTTGGAGGTAGTGTGTGTGTGTGTGTGTGTGTGTGTGTGTGTGAGAGAGAGAGAGAGAGAGAGAGAGAGAGAACAGCAACCCATTGTGTGGTCACTTTTTTAGGAGCAGTCAGTTTGCAGGGAGGAGAGATCTTTTGGAGTCTAGTTCAACTAGGTGCTGCTGAAGCAACTCAGAATCGGGACCTCCTGTGTGGAGGGGGTGGACTGTGTGTGTGTTTTTTTTGGGGGGAGAGGTCTTAATTGTTCCTGTGTGCCAAGGAGATGAAGGGAGGCGCCATTGAAGTCATGGGGAGTTTCTCCCTCCCTGGCCTCAACCAGCTAAAGAGAGGCATAGATTTTGCTGGTTTAAGAGAATTTGTTGGCGTTTCTCCGCATGCTGCCTGTGTTTTGGTGCATGTGGGTGGGGGGAAAGAGGAGGCATCACTGCCATGACATGACGGTTCCCGGAGGATCCTAAAATAGATCCATGGGCTTTGCTGCATTCTTGATGCAAAAGCGAGAGCCCAGGCAGGTGTCTCCTTTGCATGGAGGTCAACATCTCCCCTCCCCCCGAAATTTAGAAAGGGGGTGCCATAGAGGAATGCCTTTGGGAGTCCAACAGTTGAGAAGAGTTTCAGGAACTGGGGAGCCTGTCCATATCCTGGGCTGCTGCAGTAGACGGCAGCCCCCAGCCCCTCTCCATTCCCTGCATCCAGCACTTTGAATGATGGTGGGGGCGGAGGGGACGGACAGCTGCCTGGCCCTTCCTTGGCTCCTCAGCAGTTCCAATGTGCAGGGAAACTTGGAATAATTATGCGCAGAAGTTGCTGCATTTCTGAAGCGTCCACCCATCTCTCTCTCTCCCCCCTCCTTTCTCCCAAGTTTCCAGCTGTGTCAGCTTTTTCAGGAGCGTGCGCTGCCTGCCCTGATAGTGCCTGGTTTGGAAATCCCATCCCAATACCTTGTTTGGGGGATCATACCTTTTGTGGCGTGTGTACCCCCACCCCCGAAAAAGGGAAAAATCTTGCAGCAGCAGCAGCCTGGATTCAGGTTGGTGGAGTCAATGGAGGCAGTTCTCAACGCCCACCCCCACCCCAGCTGGAATGGGTAGCCATCTTTGCCTGTGTTTCTCTTGCCCTGGACTGGTTGTGTTGCACTGGTGGTACACTGAGGGCTCTGTGGGTGGGGTGTAGTTTTTTTGAACTCTGTTATATTGAGTTTCTTACTCCCCTTGTTAGGAATGCTCTTCACAGGAGGGGGATTTTCCAAACACTGGCAGAATCCCTCTCCCTGGTACTTCCTGATTCTTGTGTTTCTGCCAGATATCCTCTCTCTTCCTTTCTCTTTTTCACGTGCCTGTTTCCTCTCCTCCCACCCACTCCCCTGCCCCGCCTACAGATGTGCCCTCTCTCAGGAGCTCTGGTGTTGAGCGCGTGAGGCAGTCGCTGAGCCATGTCGCAGATGCTGCACATAGAAATCCCCAACTTTGGGAGCACCGTCCTGGGCTCCCTGAATGAGCAGCGCCTCCTGGGTCTCTACTGCGATGTCTCCATCCTGGTCAAGGGCCAGGCCTTCAAGGCTCACCGGGCTGTCTTGGCAGCCAGCAGCCTCTACTTCCGAGACCTCTTCAGTGGCAACAGCAAGAGCGCCTTCGAGCTGCCGGGCTCCGTGCCGCCCGCCTGCTTCCAGCAGATCCTCTCCTTCTGCTACACCGGCAAGCTGACCATGGCTGCCAGTGAGCAGCTGGTGGTGATGTACACAGCAGGCTTCCTCCAGATCCAGCACATCGTGGAGAAGGGGACAGACCTGATGTTCAAAGTGAGCTCCCCTCACTGCGACTCCCAGACGGCCATGACGGAGGAGCCCTGCTCGGGGCCCCAGAGCCCCTGCCACCCCCTGCAGCCGCCCTCCCTGCCCTATGCTGTGTCGCCTTCCGTGCCCCTTCCACTGCTCACCCGCGTCAAGCATGAGACCTTGGAGCCTGCGAAGCGGTCCTTGGAGTGCAGCCTGCGGGAGGTGGCCGGGGGCAGCTCCTCTGCTAGCGCCCCGCTCAAATTGTCGCGCGTCTCCTACTACGGGGTGCCCAGCCTTGCCACCCTCCTCCCCAGCATCCCGCTGGCTCAGTACTGCCAGGGGGAGCGGACGAGCCCTGGGGCCAACAGCCTCCCCACCACCGACAGTCCCACCTCCTACCACAATGAGGAAGATGAGGACGATGATGAAGCCTATGACACCATGGCGGAGGAGCAATACGGGCAGATGCACATCAAGTCCACAGGCGGCTATGCAGGTAAAAAACCCCTTTAGCCTCCGCCACTTTCATTCTCATGGGACCGTAAAATGAGAGGCATCTGCAGTCAGGCAGGTGTTCATTTCCCTGCATTTTAGAAAAGTAGTTCAGTAGGTGGAGTGTCTGATTTGCAAGCAGTTGTTTTGATCCCCAGTTGGCATCTCCAGATAGGGCTGGTAGTAAATCCCCTGCTGGAAACCCTGCACAGCCATCACTGCCGGTCAGTGTTGGTAATACCGAGCTGGGCAGACTGATGTCCTCACTTGGAGTAAGGAAGCTTCGCACTGATTTAAGACTTGAAAACTTGAATGGGAACAGTGCTGAATGCAGCTTATTTCCATTTCGGGGTGAGGTCTCTTATTTCCTTCCCTCCTGCCAGATATAGGTCTCCAGGCTCTGTGAATTTGCTGACAGGGAAGGCATTTCTTAGTAAGGAGTAGTTCATTTTTCAATAAGATGTTTTCTGGCGGGAGGGACTGGATCTCTACATGTGAATCTGCTGAAGGTGCCATTGTTGTCCCTTTGGTTCCTTGCGGAAAGTAATAAGCTCTTAATTTCTGCAAGCTTATTGATGGTGTCTATTTCCTTATTTGGGGTGTGTGTGTGTCTGCATGTTCAGAGTTTCCTCCTCATTTAATGAAACTGGCAATGCAGCATTACTCCATGGATCAGTTTCCTTGATGCCGACAGATTTTAAGGGTTGCATATTGAGCATAGCAAGATTGTTGAGCTCTTTCTCTTGGTCCATTTTCTGTAGCTTAAGGAGCCTGGAAGCCCAGCCCAGGCAGATGTCTCCTCTCCTTCCCAGGAGAAAGAGGCAAGATGCCTTCAGGCAGGATTGGGAATGAGGTGCTGGCTTTGGAGCTGTGCTGAGGTGCTGTGTTCTAAAACCAAAGAAGGGGTGACAGTGTGATTCTACAGTCCAGGCCACTGTGGGTCAGTGTGGTACTCTTGGGGTCATGAAAGAGCTTGTAGGGCAAGAGACACTTTATGGTCAGCCTGGATGCCCCCCGCTGACCCACTGGAGAGACACATTTCTAGCCAAGCCAGCAGGATTTTATAGCCAGAGCCCAGCTAGGTTCTATGTCCATTGATCAGCTAAATTTTGTGGGTGGCTGACAGGGTGCTTGGCTGGCAGCATCTCATGTGCCCAAAGTATGTTAGCTCGGGGGTAGGGGGACCTCACTTTGCAGGTGTTTGAAAAAGCTGGGAGTGTCCAAAATGTCAATGTTCTAATTTGACCAGGCTAAAACTTTCCCTGCCTGTACAGATAGTTTTGGTGCTGAGGAGCAGGTGACTCTCCAGGGTCATCTTGTCCAAAGGTGGACCTCCTTTCCCAGGGAGAAACTGAAATCCATCCTTCAAAGCTCACTCAAAACTTAAAACCCTGAGAGAGTGAAGCCAATCTGGTTCACTCAGAGACAGTGATTCCTTGATGTGAGTCGTATGCCAGGGAAACAACAGCCCACCAGGAGCACCTGGAGCACCTAGTCCAGCCCCCCAACAGGTAGCTCAGCGGGAAGGAACCTGTGGGCAAGACCTGCTGCCAGCAGCAGCAGCTCTCCCCACTAGCAGTTCCCAGCCACTGGCATTCAGAGGCCTACATATTACGCACTTCTTTAAAACATTGATCAGCCAGCCATCTTAAAGTTTATTTTGTGCAGTGTTACTTATTTGTTTATTTCATAACTTTTATATACCGCTTGATTGTCAGAAAAATCCTCAAAGCGGTTTACATAAAGTTTGCTAGTGTTTTGTGTTCCGTTGCATGCCGTGCACCACCCTATCAGTCCCTTAGGAAATGGCGTCATAAATATTTTTACTTATAAATGAACAATAAATTCTGCCTTCAAGAGTGGAGGTAGAACATAACCAGTGTGGCCTGGCTGTAACCATTGGGCCTACTTCCCCAACCCTCTTGTCAGGATCTATTCACATTTCCCGCTGCTGCCTCTGCAGAGCAGGGGTCATTTGCCGTGGCTGCTTCTGCTTGGCTTCTTGGCCCAAGAGAAAGCGGGGTTCCTGCAGCCTCAGCCATTTGGGATACCCCGGGGTTTTCCCTTACAATCCTGGGTAGCTCTTTCATGCCTCCCTCCTTCTCCCCAAGGGCCTCAAGAGAAGCCGGAGCCAGTGCCCCTGGAGAGCCGCTCTTGTGTCCTCATCAGGCGGGACTTGGTCGCCCTCCCTGCCAGCCTTATCAGCCAGATTGGGTATCGCTGCCACCCAAAACTCTACTCAGAAGGAGATCCTGGAGAAAAACTTGAACTCGTGGCAGGTAAGGACCCACAGGGGCAGGTTTTCCTTATACTTAGGGACTTGTTGCAGTAACATGGCTTAAAAATTGTAAATATTGTAGAACTCCTGCAATTCTTTGTTTCATTAACAAGGGATCTTTTAATTTCTGCATGATTTGGTGGGGTTTTTTTTAATTAAAAAATAAAAATAAAATAAATTTAGAAAAGATAAATTGCAGTGAACCAAAATGTAGAAAATTTTGCTTATAAAATTAATCTGACCTAAATTTATTTTGTTTATAAAATTACTTTGTTATTTATGGTAATATTGTAAATGTGATATCTATTTAAGTAGAGTTCCCCCCCCTTTCTTGTCTTTCACTTCTGAGAACAAATATAACTTCCTTGGATTCTTATTTCATTTACTTTACATTGTATCTGTGAAAGCTGTGATGTGGTCTTACATTTTTCTAAGCTTTGTTTATGAAATGGACTGGCCACCTTGGTGTCCACCTTCCCTGAGCAACTTCTCAGTATTTAGGTGTGAAGGGAGTTTTAGATAAGAGACCCCAAAGAGCTAATCCAGAGCATTTTCCCCTTGTCAGGCCTTCAGTGGGGGGAGAAGAAAGGTTGCCTCCCTGAGAGAGCAGGGAGTAGAGGTGGGCAGGGCCAGGGCGCCCTCACCTGGCAGGAAGAGAATGTGCCTTTACTGCTGGCCATTCCAGTAAAGAGTGAAAAGGCTGGATCTTTTGCTGGGGGTAGTGATCCTGAGGGATCTCAGGACCCTCCCTTGGGTTGCCACGATCAGGTCACAGACAACTCCTTTTCCTGCTGCCCAGGTCACTTCTCTGAGGTATGTCATAAGTCTTTGCTGCTTCAAGATGATCTGAGTCAGTATTAACTGCATGCATGTTTGTGTCCTGTTGTACACCTTGCAGAGCAGAGCTGGGGGTGTGACTTCTGGACCTCTTACTTGCTCTCTCCTGTATTGCTGGAAGTTGGACATGATGACCCTTGGGGTCCCTTTCCACTCTACAATTTTATTATTCTCTCTCTCTCCACCCAGGCTCCGGTGTTTACATCACTCGGGGGCAGCTGATGAACTGCCACCTGTGTGCAGGTGTGAAGCACAAAGTTCTCCTGCGGCGCCTGCTGGCCACGTTCTTTGACAGGTAGGACACAAAGGAAGGGCCCGTCCTCCTAGCTCCTCTTGACCCAGCCGGCTTCTGAGCTGCTGCCAGGGAGCCAAGTTTGGAGGGAGCAGGAGCTTTAAGTGATGGAAGAATTAAGCATTTTGCTTAATGGGAATTAAAAAATGGGTTTTTAATTTGTCTGTCAATGGAGGTCAGATGTTTCCTAGTAGAAAGCATAAATGTGAGGATGTGGGATTGTGTCCAGTGCTAGTCCTGTTCAAAGTAGACCCACTGAAGTTAGCAGACATGACTAGCTTAAGTTTGTTCATTTCAGCAGGCCTGCTCTGGTTAGAGCCCTTCATGTCTGTCTTTACCAATTAGCAGAAATAGCTAAACCCTGCCCTGGGAGCACTACACTGCAACACAAAGGGAAACCAGATTAAGATTAACAACCATGCTGGGTGGAATTTTTGTGTGTTTGTGGATCCTGTGCATTTGCACATGTAAGAGTCTGAGGTGGCTGTACTCAGCACTGGCATGAAACCTTCAGGGGGTTGGCTAGAGGGGGAAAACAGCCCTCAGGCAGAGAAAGGTTTAGCCACCGCTGGGAGCGGAGAGATCTGGGAGCGAGGAGATCTGGGACCATCTGCATATGGATCCGCAGGTCGAGGGCAGACAAACCACTTTCATTTTGCTGTTCTTTGAAGGAGGTGCAGTGTACACAAATGCTCATAGGTGTAATAAGACATCACAGAGCCTAAATTGGACACTGTATGTCAACACATTTGGAAATACACATGGTAACAGATTTTGTCCCTTATCCTAGAATCGCAGAATGAGATGCAGACGATTCTTCAAATAACTGGTGTGAGCATAAATATGTATATTTAATAATTCCTTTAAATGGGCTGACGTGTCTACTGGCAAGTGAAAATTCTCTTGCCTCTTCTTATCAACTAGTATATGCACCATCTACAAAGAAATAGCTTCCAGAAGTTCTTGAAACTGCATGTCTCTGTAGGTCTGTAGATTTGGTTAGTCAAAGAAACGGACATGTAGGTTGACGTCTCTGTTGTGCTCCCCCCCCAAAAAAAGCTCAAACTTTGGGGGGTTTATCCAGTGTAAGTAATTTGGAATTGTGTTCAGTATTTATAATACTATGAAATACCTTTTTAAAAATTTTGTTCTTCGGCCATGGTGAAGATTCCTTAATTTCTGCTGATTTGCAGAGTGAGCCTCAACAAGCCACAACTGATTGGTTTGTATTATCTCCTGTATGAGATTTTTTCTTGGGGGGTGTACCTCTTTGGGCTTCTGCTTCTCCCTCTCTTCTCCCCCCACCCATTCCTCCATGGAAGCTCCTTCAAAGTCTGCTGCCTGAAATGGGCTCTTTCCCATGCTTTGGATCCCAGCTGTGGGTTTTCTTTGAATGTGCTCTTGAGATTCTGCTTCCCACTCCTTCCCGGGACAGGAACACACTGGCCAACAGCTGCGGAACTGGGATCCGGTCTTCCACAAGTGATCCCAGCAGGAAGCCACTGGACAGCCGGGTCCTTAATGCTGTGAAACGTAAGTGTGGAGAGGAAGAGGAGAAGGAGCCTCGTGAGGGTAGATGGAGAGCTATTCGGTTTATTTTACATCTTCCTTTAGTTGTGACTCCTGCCTTGCAGGAGGTTGGACTAGAAGACCTATGGGTCCTCTGCAATGCTGTAATCTACAATTATAATTAAGAGACTCTTGCTCTACCGACTGAGCTACTCTATTATTCTAAGGGGTCTGGATTCAAATGCTCCTTCTAAAAAGACACCAAAGCTTTAAAATCCTGCATTTTGGCGTCAGAACCCTGTTTACTGCCTTTTTGAAAAACTGTTTTTTATTAAAGATTTTATTGGGTTACAAAGGTACATACATTATCTCTGTTTTCAGATCATAAAGTCCTTTCTACAGGGCAGTTCTATTCAATGTGAGACAGTAATGTTGTAGACAGTATAAGGTTGGGGGAGAAGAGAGGGGGGAATGTTTACTGCCTTTTGTATGTGCTGACAAAGTTTGTTTTTAAGTCAGGGCATGAGAGGGAAGATCTTTGAGTCATGGGAAGATCTTTGAGAGGGAAGATCTTTGAGTCTGTGGCCACAACAGATTTTCTCTCTACTAAGCTATTTTGTGGCAGCCCCAATTGGTTGAGCTCCTCCTGTTTCATGAAATGCTCATTGTCTCATGACAGCAATGTGGAAAGAAGCCCCAAACAGGGGACCCTCCTTAGAATGTTGTCCCTGGTTGAAAGGGCAGGCAGAGAGGGGTGTCAGGGAATTTGGACACTTGCGGAGCCAGGCCAAGCCATGTTGGCTGAAAAAAGACTGCTGAGAGGTCATGAGCCAGAAGGGGCCAGTCGGAAAGTCACTTGGGAGGGCGGTGCTGGGAGGGAGAAATTTGCACTTCAACTGTATCCTCAAGGCAACTTGCAAGAATTAAATAGTTCCACTAGCAAATTAAAATGCAGCAGCATAAATCTGATAAGGACAAATGAGACCAGATGCATGCAGAGCCAAAGCAGAGGGTATGCTCTAAAGAGTGTGTGCAGTTTTGCTTCGGAAGGTGAGGAGCCTGCCTGGGCTTCTTTAAAAAGAAGGGGAAATTCTGCCAAATGAAACTTCTACCACTACAGGATTATGTCCTTCTGTGCAGCTCTTGAAGGACTTGGAGGCTCTCTCAAGGTCTGGACTTGGGAAATCAAGGCCTGAAAAGCAGTGTAGGGTTAGGGTTCGTGACTCTGGCAGCTGCATGACTCGGAGAATTGGCTCTGAAAGGGGGATGAGGAGAGGGAGGCCTTGAGTTGAGCAATGCCAGAGAGGCTCTCAATAAGTACAAGTTGTTTGTCATCCGCAGAGGCTGGGTCTGGTCTTCTCTGTGCTTGCCTGCTAGTTTCCTACCAGCCGGGTAAGGTGTGATTCAAGCTGTTGAATGCAAATCTGGAAGCATTCAATCTTTCTTTCTTAAAATAGTGAATAATTCACAGTCTACTATGGGACCTTCCAGCACTGTCTCCTTATCTGTGCTGGATGTTACAAATCTTGTAAAGGCGCCTTTATGCAATCTGTAATTTTACGGCCATTGTTCCTGATGCTGAAAAAAAAAAGTTAAAACTCTTCCTCTGTTGTAGCTAAAACACCCCCTTGTCTTTGCAGTGTATTGCCAGAATTTTGCCCCAAGTTTCAAGGAGAGTGAGATGAACGTCATCGCAGCTGACATGTGCACTAATGCCCGCCGGGTGCGGAAGCGGTGGCTGCCGAAGATCAAATCCATGTTGCCGGAGGGTATGGAGATGTATCGCTCCGTCATGGGCTCCACTACCAGCAGTATCTCCCTGGACCCTGAATTCCAGCCTTCCGCTGCTCAGATGTTTGAACAGCGGATCTATGCGGAGCGGAGGGGGGATTCTGGAACCATTGTGGCACTGAGAACTAACACGGTCACTGTGGATCAGAGCAACAGATCCAGCCAGCTGTTTGAGCCGAATGAGCAGGGGGAGGGAGCCAGTTCTGTCATCCAGGAGTCTGCTGGCCCAGAAGCAATGGCTTTGGAGAGCCACAGCACCACACCGCCTTTCGAACAGGGCCCATCTGGGTCCACTAGCCGGCCGGAGACTCCGGCAAGACGACCGGAAGGCCCCTACGGAGGAGGAGGAGGAGGGACTTTGTGAAAGAGCCAGGATCATGCTGGGCTTGACCAATGAGGGATCTCTAATACTAAAGCTGCTTGCATGCATTATTAATACAGAAAAAAGAGAAATGTGATCAAACCATTTACCTACTGAACTGCTACTGTTGCCTGAGAAAAATGTGATTTTTATTCTGCTTGTGTTTAAGATGGATGAAGGAAATATCACATTCGTTATACTGTAAGCAACTCTAGGCCTAAGGCAACCTAGTTACGGAAAACGGAAATGAACAAACCCCAGGCTCCTTTAAAATCAAAAATCCCGAGGTTTGTCTAGAAGGCAGTAGGATTTTGTTTCAAAAGAGCTAAGCGATATTCCTCTCCCCCATTCATCCTCTTCCTCCTCCACCACCATCCTCAGCCCTCCTCTTCCTCTTCCTCCTCCTTGTGATGGGGCATGTACAGAGAGGGGAGGGGGCAAGGAGCTGATGGAGGATGAGGAGGAGGCCTTGCTGGGGTTGGCTGCTGTAGGGTGAGGTTTTGGTTTGGTTGCTGCACAATTCCATTGCCTGGACCTTTTGTTTGACTTGTGGACAGGGAGGGTTTTTTTCAGGCACATTCCACTAGGAATATATCCTGTGCAGGTACTGTTGGGACGAAGGGACATTTTTGCCTGGAAACTCCACCGGTGGCCAGTGCTCAGGATATTTGCTGGATGGAAAGCCTTAATTGCCCTTTTTCTTCCCTTGATGGTGCCCCATGCCTGGTAGTGGCACCAGGGCACCACACTTTCCTTTGTGTCCCCCTCAGGCAATGGCTTCCCCCAGAGTTTCTTTTTTTTCCTTTTTTTTTTTTTTTTTTTTTTGAAGGTGAGCCCAGGGCTCTTTCTGGCACAGCAGAAATGATTTGAATCAGGTTGGGCACATGACACCATTTGTGGGTGTCATGGATTTCGTCCTGAGGAGTATTGTGTTTGTGTGTGGCTGCACAAAACATTCCAGAATGACTCCCATGATACAATTTGGCCTGCTCTTAGATACAGGGGCATCTTTGAGCTTCATTTTGTTTAATGCTGAAATTTTGCTGGCAGAGATGGTGAAAGGCAAAAGCTGCTTGGGCTGGGCAGAGGTGCCCCCCAGGGGGCTAATACTGAGGGCCTCACTCTATCCTGATGCATCTCATGGGACCGGGGAGGGAGGTTATTGTTAGCACTGAGTGGTGTGTTGATGGAGGTGGAATATGGTAAGGCTCTACTGGGCCAGAGTGTGGGCTGCAGTTGCTGTTCTTGGCATTTCTGAAGGCATTTCTGAAGGAGCAGACAGGGAAGAGAAAATAGATCAGAGGGAGAGGAGAGAAGGGAGTCACTAACTTGAGAGTTTTGTGGCACACTTGGCCAGAATGGATGTTTTTGGTGGCTGTCCAACCCTACCCCAAACCCTATTGTTCCTTTTTAGGATCTGTGTTTTCCTATTTGATCCCACTCTTTTTTTTTTCTTCTTTTTTTTTTGAGAAGGCTCATGTAAAATATGAGAACAAGTTTTTCATTTCTGATGGCTTGAGCTGCTTTGTCTGGTAGGGTGTTTCTTAGAGGGGTACAGCTCAACTTTCACATCTGAAAGGTGTTGGGTGCAGAGCGAACTTTGGCCAAAGGAGAACCAGCATGTGTGCAAGAGGCAGAGCAGGTTGGAGTGGGATCTGGGCTGGGGAAGCAGGCAGGCAGCCTAGCTTGCTTTTTGGGTGGTTGTGTGTCAGGGGGAGAGCAGCCTCATTTTTGCTGCACTCAGTACCTCCCCCTAATATATGTCGGACAGGCGTGGCAGAGGAGAGAGTAGGGGGAAGCCACCATGGCCCGACTGGGCTATTTCATAAATGGAAGGGCAAAGAGGCCCCTTCTCTGGTCTCTGGTTGGATGGCCGTTGCAGGGGGTTGCCTAGATTACCCTTGGGGGTCCCTTTCCTCTCCACAGTTCTATAAGGGAAAGGTGCTTTTGCTCTGGGATCTGCCCCTTTTCCAACTCCAAAATGGGTCCTTGGCAGCCATCCCCTTAGCCGTTCTAGAATGGTTTATCCCAAGATTCATTCACCTTGATTGAAACACAGGAGCTACTGGAAGGCCCCCACCTGGTATGTGAGAGGAGATGCTTCAACATGAAGGGTGTGCTGCTTAGGAATCTCTCGCCTTTCCTAGCCCAAACCCTTCTTGATGTAAGGGTTTGTCTCTGCTTTTCTAGGCAGGATCCCTGTGTGGGTTTCTGGGAAGGGACCACAAAGAGCAGGCTCTTGAGGGGGGAGGGGAGACATACTGAGTTTGGGGGGATTTTTCAGGTGCAGAAAGCTCAGGACAGTGGGAGCTTCTGAGAGCTCTGCAATGGGTACTTTATGAGCTCCAGGTGAGGCTCTGTGCTGGAGCCAATGGCATGAGGTGTTGCGGGGTATACTCTCTTCCTGGGAGTTCCTCCCTTTGCCATGTGACCATGGAGGCTTTGGAGGGAGTCCTTGCCTTTGGCCAATATTTGAAACTTCATTCTGGGCCCTGAATAAAAAAACTGTGGTCCCTGATCTGTACCAGTGCCACCCCACAAAGGATTAAAACTAGCTGAGCACTGGTGAAGTGGATGGGTGAGGCCTTGAGGAGGGGAAGGAGAAGCACCAGGAGGCTGAGCCAACTGTCTCCAGCCTTTTTCTGGTCTGGGATGCCTCTGTAGCTGCAGCTCAATCAGGCCAGTGGCCTATATAGTCCATCCTAACCTCAGTGCTTAACCAGTTGCCTTTTACAGGAAACTTGCAAGCACTGCCCTTTCCCCTCATGCAGTTTCAAGCAACTAGTAGTTGGCCTGGTACTCCCACAGGTCCTTGGTACCCTTGCCCTGTGTGCCATAGGGAAGGCAAGGCAAGGCTTCATCCGGGATCTGGCATGAAGCCCTGGCAGTTGACTCCACACCTTCAAGGGCCTAATTCTGCATTTGCAGGTGAATGAGAACTTTTTGTTATCAGAGTGAGCAGTCGAGTAATGATCTGCCCTAGATGGTCCAGTGAGTAGGGGCAGCTCTGTGGGCAGTGACCCCCCCCCTTCTGTATCTTTCCCTGAGTCAGTGGTAAAGGGGGATTGGGTCCATGAAATATGATGGTATCAAACTGAAAGGATTACTGCCTTTCTTACCTTGGGTCATTTCCTCTTCCAATTGGATACCCTACCCAAAATAATGGTGGTACAAAGTGCATCCAGGAGCTGTTCCACCTGCCCCTGGCCCCATGATGAAATGACCAGAACATAAAGAAAATACTTGAATGGCTTAGAAAAGAATCCGAAGAGAGTGTCGCATTGCACAGTTAAGATATATTTTTATACCGAGCACAATTTCATGTACATTTTTATTTGGAGTTTCTTTGTTTGTTTTTACTTTCTAGTAAAAGAGCGAGAGAGCGAGAGAGCTTTAGGTAAACTTGAAAAAAAATGTGAATGGTTTGTTTTTGGGGAGGGGGGCCTTCCTTGTCTTCTTGATGAGGATGAGCATTTGCACTAAACCAGATCCGCATGTGGAGGCTTAAGGGCAGATTTCCAAGACGTATCTGTGGATCGTGATTGTCTCCTCCCTGGTGGGAAGGAAGAATGTCGCAAAATAAAAGAATGTAAAGTGAGAATGAAGCCCAGAATGATCGGGATTTCCTGAGTGCCTTAGCCCTTTTTGGATCACTTGTTTTCCATGCGGAGGGGACAGAGAGGGGGGGAAATGCCAGATCAGGAGGAATGCCCCCCGCCCCGATTTCCCCCTCTTTGTTTACAATAATGCTAGAAATGTCATGAGAGTGTTTGGGAGTTGCTTTCTGACTGTGATGATGCATAATGTGAAATGGAAACGGCATCCCTCTAGATCTTAAAAATAAAATAAAAATGGAAGCAGAAGTATTTATGGTATGTCTGCACCTCTATTCTTAATGCTTGACTGTTAGCAATATTACATGTGTATATTATATATATATATATTAAAAGTTATATCAAGCACCTTTTTAAAGAGAGAGAAAACCGAGTGAATTTAGTGGTTGCCACATCATAGTATAAGAATTGAACCAACATTCCCACCCCCTCCTTTTCTGCAATGGAAACATCCCCAGATTGCAGTTGCTTTGTAAATTAGCCTGGCTTCTCCGAGGTTTCTTTACCTAACCCTTGCTCAGAAGTGTGCAATTCCAGGGTTTTTTTTCACTCTAAACCAAAATTTGGAGCCAAAAACAAGACTCGGATTTCCCCCCCCAAGAAATCTGATCTCATTGCAAAGGTGAGACCATGTTAAGCCATAAGTCCTGTCCTTTTGTCTGCTCTGAGACTTCCCTGACAGTTATTCTCTTCTTGCTCCAACTGAAATGGCCACTAATTCAACCCTCAAGTTGCCAGAGATGTTTGGCTGTTCCCCACTTTTTCTTACCTGTCCTGGGAATCCAGTTTGGAAATGGGTTTTGCTTAATTGAAGAAATTCTTCTTTCTCATTTTAATTAAGTGCTGGAAAGCATCCTGGCTAGAAAGTTTAGCTTTTTTTGTAGGATGCTGATTTGCCAGGGTGGATAAAAGGTTGTGACTGTTTTCTCACCTGGTGTGGCAACCTTTCCTGGTACTTCCCATCACTGAGGAATTGTGACCCTCTTGGTGACTTCTCTTTCCTGCATCTTCTTCCTTGCAGCATTAAATGCAAAGAGGAAAAGCAAATTGGTGCCATCCCCACCTGACAGGGCAGGAGAAGGGGGGAGTCCTTAAAAGGGCACAGCCATTTGGGCATGGTGCTCTCCGGGGGAAAGGTGCCCGGGGGAGACGGGCTGCTTTACATGTAATCATCTTTGCCTGAGAAGAGGCCCTCTCTGTGATGTTGTCTTCCCTGAGCAGCAGAGTTTCCACAGCTGTCCAAATGATGCAGCCTGTGATATATGCTGTGCATTTTGACCATATCTCCTGTGGCCATTAAGGGATCCCTAACCAGTCTTAAAGGGCCAGGCCTTTCAGTGTCACTTTTACAGTGCTGCTGTGGCTGCCCATGGAGGGTTGTGGTCAATTCACTGGGTGCCCACCTTGGAGCAAGGCAATCTGTGCCTCTGCCAAAGCTGGCATGAGAGGAGGGAAAGAGGGATCCCATGTGTTGTCCTTGCTGAAGAACTTACAATCTTCTGTTTCTTCCAAACGTCCTTTTTGCACTTTTACGTCTGAGGTGGAGGGGAGGGAGCCCAACCTTGCAATACTATTTTTAAGACTCAAAAATGATAAAGTCATAGCTAAGCAAGAAAATGTATAAATATGTTTAACTTGAACCTTTGGATTGCACTTGATTCAGATTGTGTGCAGATCCTTTTGAACTGCCTGAGAGAAAAGTCTTAAGAGAGCAAAAGGGTTTCTCTTGGAGTCTTTATCAAGAGTACCCAGTAGTACTGTAACTCATGACTGTTAAAAATAAATGAAAGTTAAAAATCCCAGCGCTAATAGGGGAGATTTTGAAGTGCTTTGGAGTTGTTTCAGCCACGCAAAGTTTTGTTTATTCTCTTTGTTATTTATGTGCCATCCCTCAGCTTGAGACTGTTACAGCCATGGCTAACACTATAGATTCAGACCTGTGGCTGGGGGGTGGGGGGGGGCGGGGGTAACATGGGGGAGTGGCTTCAAGATGTCTCTTCTTCACAAGCCCCCTTCCAAGAGTTCAAAGTATGGTTGTAGCGCTTTTCATATAATGAAAAATCCATGGAAAAATGTGATCATTAATGATGAAAATGCTTTGTAAAATTCACATTTACAAAATAATAAAGTAAATAAAACCATGTGTCTCTTGTTTCTGCTGCCCTGCTCCCTCATCCATCATTTCTGGAGTACAATGGGGGTAAGAAGGGGCTGAGGTAGGGTGGGGCGTAGAATGATTCTGGTTTCCTATAAATCGGGTCCTGTCCCCTACATTTTACTGCAATACAGCGCCTGTGAGTAAAAGCCCTCCGAATTGTGTTATGTGCCGTTTATTGACAGATAAATAGGTTGTGTTCATATGTAAGTATTGAGGCACAATTGAATCTTCAAAAAAGGGTTATTCCTCATCACTTCTGGGGGTGGCCATGACATTCCTGTTTTGGAGCTCTGTTTGCTTTTAAGACGGGTGAAAGTGCAAGGCAAGTGGAGGAAGAAATAGTGTTTTGCTTGGATAAAGGGGGACTCATTCTACAGAGGAGTTGTGCGGGTGTAGCTGAGACTGCTGAGCTTTTCAGACACCATCCTGGTTGTGAGTCTTGGGGGACCTGCTCCCTGCCTTTCAGATCTTTTCCACCTTGCCTAGGAGGGCTGGGCCCTGACTGACTGCAGCTTTGAAAGCTGAGGCAGCTGAACAGGCCTTTAGGTTGGGGTATTGTTTAGCTGGTTTCAGTTCTGTTATTTCCCCATTTGTAAAAAATGTTTTAAATTGTTATTCTTTTACCTTGTTTGCTTCTAAATCTGAGCTTTTTATGGGATGTGCCTCAGAAAAGAGGAGCTGGAGAGAGCAGGAGAGGTCCCAATCACAGTGGTTCAGGGTAGGGGGAGGTATGGTGTGGGAGGTGGGCAGGCCAGGTAAGGGGCACATGGCACAGACAGATGGTGGCTGTGCCGTGTGCCAGTCCCATCTCCAACCTGGGGAATTGGCTTGAAATCAAGCTTCTTGAAGAAAAGTTGAGTGCTTATGCCAGCAAGCCCCACTTTTGACAAGAAGCCACATCTTCCCTTGCCTCACACATGTTAGGAGTAGGACAGGTGAGCACTACTGGCAGGGGAACATGGTCTTGTGGGCCAAGTAAGGGGCCCTGACAGACCTAACTCGAGCAGCTGCTTTTCCTTTCAAAGGCCCTGAGGTTAGTCTCTGTCATTGCCACTTAAAAATGGTCAAGTAATAAGTCATGGAGCCAGCCAGTTCTCAACGCTCGGAAAAGCTCAGAGGTGGAGTATCTGTTTTGTTTGCAAAAGGCCCTGCATTTGGTTCCTGGATTCTCCAAATAAGGCCTGGATCAGGCCCCTTTCTGAAGCTTAGAGAGCCCCTGGATATTAGTGCAGGCCATTTGAGAACTTTGGTCTCTGGAGCCCAATGTGTGTTGCTTTACTTATTTCAAAACATAGTATGCTATTCCTGCTGCATGTGGGAATGGTGGAATGGTGTGGGTGGGTGGCTCTATTCTGAATCCTAGAGTTCTGCCCCCGGCATCCAATCCTGATGATATCACTGATACGCAGTCTTATCAATTTGATGTATGCCAGCTAGGATTATCACTGAGCAGGGCAAAGATGAGCTGTATTGGGGGGGGGGGGCAGTTAGCTCTTACAGCAACTAAGGACCTAAATTTGAGCTTAGGTACCCTGTTGTATCAAAACATAGTAAGAAAGGATGTTTTCATCACAGGTGTTAGTGCATGAGACTATAGCCACGTAAAAGTGCCACCTAAAGGATCCATGGCTGGTTTGAGCTTTTCTCTTGCAGCCCATTTCCGAGGCCAGTGTTCAACATCAAGCATGATAGCTGCAGTAACTGTCAGTTTACTGCCTGTTTACCTAGGCAAATTGACCATTAAAATGCTGCAAAGTTGCATTTTCCTCTAGTTACCTAAAATATATATAAAGCAATTGCTCCCAAACCACAGCCATTTAATTTCTTTCCTATGGATAGGAGGGGCCCCCTAAACCATTGTAATGTAGAATCATAAAACTTCCTACTGTGTTATAGAAGCCATTTCCAAACTGATTTATTCTAAATGAGTTGTTATAATCAGACTTTCCCTTTTCTTGCAGGCATCAGTGTTTTAGGAAAGCCAAAGCCCAGATGCTCCCATACTTCACACTGATTACTTATCAATGCCATTTCCCAAATGAGGTCTTTGGCTTGCAGTATTGTCAGTAGGGGATGGATGGTGGTCGGTTGCAGGAATAAGAAATAGGAATGAATTATTTGCTGCTTCATGACACAGTTCCTAGAGTGAAGGAGCCTTTCCAGAAGGAGGCAGCACCAGAGCAAATGCAAAGCTGGAAAAACTGCCTGAGAACAAGCATGAGGAAGGGGCTGCTGTTTTGGCATCCCCACCCCAATTGGCAACTTTTGCATTTTAAAAAAAACCCCAACTGTGTGAATATTTGGTTGCATTTTTTTTCTTTTGGGACTGTGGAACTGTCCCCTAATTGGTGCTGAACAACTGCAGCTACAACTGCTGGTTTGGTGGAATCATGGAACTGGTTACTCATCCTGTTTAATGCCAAATCTGTAGACTGGGAAATGTTGGTTATTATTATTATTATTATTATTTAATTAACTCACCTACATTTTTCCATGTACCTTTCCCTGCTGTTGAAGTGGAGAGAACTCTCTTAAACAAATAAGCGCCCCTACCTTAGAAACACTGCCTAGTGCAGCTCTTCCTCGTAGCCATGGAGCTTTATCTTATTTCCTTTACTGCTGGATTTGCCTGGGAGAAGTGTTAAATCTAAAATGTGTGGGTCCCTTAAATCATATTCATGAAAATCTGGCATAATACTTTTATCCCTGGCCACCGGCCATACTGGCTGCAGGGTCTGAGAAGAGCTAAGAGTCCATCAACATTTGTAGAGCTGCTGTAATAATAATAATAATAATAATAATAATAATAATAATAATAATAACTTTATTTATATCCCACCCTCCCTAGCCGAAGCTGGGCTCAGGGTGGCTAACAACAATAAAATAGTACAACATAGATATTCCCTAGCCCTGGGTCACAGGGAAACTCAACCTCTTGGTTTCTTAGCACTGGGGATCACTTCTTCCCACCCTGCCATCTCATCTGTGGCAATTGCAACAGCAGTGTACAGAATGCTGGCACTCAAGTGTGATGACTTAATGCTTCCCCACATCATTTTCATAGAATCATAGCTGTGGAGTTGGAAGGGACCTCAAGGATCACCTAATGCAGGCACCCCAAAACTCAGCCCTCCAGATGTTTTGGGACTACAGTTCCCATCATCCCTGACCATTGGTCCTGTTAGCTAGGGATGATGGGAGTTGTAGCCCCAAAACATCTGGATGGCTGAGTTTGGGGATGCCTGACCTAATGCAACCACCTGCAATGCAGGAATCACAGCTAAAGCATCCCTGACAAATGGCCATTCAACCTCTGTTTAGAAACCACCAATGAAGGGGAGTCCACCCCCTTCCTAGGAAATCCTTTCCATTGTCAAAGAGCTCTTACCATCAGAAAGTTCTTCCTTAATGTTTAATCAGAATCAGTTGTGTGCTGTAAGCTCGGGCTGTACATATATTCTGTTAATTGTAAAAACTGTTCTGGAATAGAGGCAGGGCTTCTCCTTCACTTCTTGTCCTCTTCTTCATGGAAGAGTCCATAAACTGGTTTCTAGGGGAGAGAAGGAGAGGTATTTAAAGTTTGCTGACATATTTGGTAGAATGCAGGAAGTCATAAAAAAGAAGTCATTTGGGAAGCAGCTCTTGAGAGGTGGTACTAATGAACCACATCTCCCAAATCTCTTTTTGAAAACAAAAACGGCAAGAAGTGATCAAGGGAAATTTGTGGGCTTAAGGTGGTTCCCAGAAAATTTGTAGGAGAAGCAAAATAATCTGGGTATTGTGGGAAGCCACATATTATCAGCAACTGATTTTATCCCATATTGTTTTTTCCCCTTTGTGTTAGCTGTCCTTGCAGGCTGAAGGTGTGGGGTAAAATTTATGGGGGAAATTGAAATAAAAACCCAGTTGTACAGTTAACAGCATAACAAAATAATGGTTGACTTCCCAATCCTAAAGAAAATGCCTTGTTTTACTACAGTTAAACATTCAACAGGGCAATGAATTTGCCCAGTGTGGGAATTGTTGATGGACTCAGTTGGGGCCCCCTGAAAAAAAGGGAGGGGAGCTTTATGACAAGGGTGAGGAGCACCTGCTAGCCTCCAAATGTGGCTGCTCTTTGGAGCCCCCATCAGCACTGGCTAGTGTGGCTAGGGGGAAGGGGCGAGGGGATTGGTCAGCCTCCCACAACCACTGGAGGGCCAGAGATCCCATCCTGCCCTCCACTCTTCTAACTTTCCCTTACTAGGCAGGGAAAAGCAAATCAAAGCTACATCCACACTATGCACTGAAAACGTTATGAGACCACTTTAAAGAGCCATGGCTCCCCCCAAACCAAGATTTCTGGGAACTGTAGTTCGGGAGTTAGGATATCGCCCCCATTCCCCCTTCCCAGGGTTGCAAATTGCAGAGTGGTTTAGCAATCAATCCCTTTTCGCAAGGAACTCCGGGAATTGTAGCTGTAGAGCCTCCTAACCATCCTCAGCATCTTAAACAAATTAAAGTTCCTAGTACAGTATTCTTTTCTTTTTCGGGGGAGGGGGGAGCAGAACCACGATTGGTTTAAACTTTAAAGCAATACGAAAACCAGTTTAACGCATGTCATGGATGTACTCCAAAGGCCCAGCAGGCCTCGGACTTTTCCTCTCCGTTGCTAGGTAACCGCTTCCCGGCTCGCACTTCCACCTTGGAGGCTGCGGCGGATTGGCGCCCTGCGATGATGCCATCGGTCCGCGCGGCTCTTTCCTCGCCGCTGGCTCAAAGTAAGGAAGGCAAGAAGACGGAGCGGACGAGAGTCAGCTAAGTCGTGGTGCCGCCGCCGCCCGTCCCTCCCTCTCCTGAGAGTGTGAGGCGGGAGGATCCCGATAATGCTTGGAGGCGGGGCGGTCCCGACGGCGATGGTGTTTCAGCCCCTTGAGGGAGTTCAGGGCGCTGCACGTGGACCCGCTGCCCTCCTCCCCGTAGTGGTAATCCCCACAACAGCCCTGCGGAGTAGGCTGGGCGGATTCGTTGGGGCTCGCCCGCTTTCTGCCTGCCTCGCCCCATTCGCCGCCCCTCTCACCCCCACGCAGCCAAACAAACGGGTGAATGGATGACCGGCCCTTTGGGCAGCCTGGAAGAATTGAGGCCGCCTGCCTCATGCACGGCAAAAAAATGCCCCTGCCTGGCGACTGCTGATGACTGAGCTGCTCTGTGGGACAGCTTCCCAGCGCACCAGCCATGGGGTCACCAGAGCACCAGCCATGCTCCTGCTGTTGCTGTTTCCCTCCTTTGCCTTGTTCGCCCCTGTGAATATGAGGCTTACGAAAGGCCTCCAGAGGGTGGCAGGAAGGATCTCTGGTTTGGTTAGTGGTAGAGCATGGTCTGCAGGTAGCATCTCCCCCAGGTAGGGCTGGAATCTTGCCTGAAGCCCTGGAGAATTGCTGCCAGTCCATGCAGGTGGGCAAGGCGGGTCAATGGTCTGACCGTGTTTTTGCCACCTTCCTATGTGTGATAGCTGACAGAGAAGCACGAGACATCGTTTAGGTAAAATTTTTAGGTAAATTCAGATGGAAGACCTTTGTAGGAATAGACGGTGCTTTTTTATAGGGGTACTCAAGAGTACGCAGTACTGGCACCATTTTTTTCTAGAAGAAAAGCATTGGTTAAAAGTGTGGCACTTACTGTAACAACATGGTAAGTACCAGCTTTATATAAAAGGTATAAGAGATTTTAGACTGATGTCTGTGTTTCATAGTGGCAGGCAGGGCCTATCCTGTGGAAGCAAAGTAGCTTCAGAAATTGTTTGTGCTCAGCTGTGATGTCTGGAAGAAAGGATGCCTTATGTTTGAAAGTTGTTACGATTTCACAGAAGCTGTGTGCTCTATCCCAACAGCATTCATTTCACAATTTAAAAATAGGGAAATGCTACCAGTGCCGTGCCATTTCATGTACTCTTTGCTGTTGCTGCTGTCTGGGCCCCCTCCTTGGCAGGTGGTGACTGTATGTTGAACAAGCCACAGCTAGACCCATTTGCAGCAGTTGAGAATTCAAATCAAGTGGCTACATATGAGACTTAGAGGGACTGACTTCAAAACAGATCTCCCTGTCAACTTCGTGAAGCATCCTATTTCATCCCTGAGCTTGCAGCAAATGCATGTTAATGCTAAGCCACTGTGGCTTTAGCAAGCATCTCTGCCCATGTGAATGGTTAATAATATTGTTAATATTAATATTGTCTGTAGTGTCAGGAAAGCCCCAGGAAGGCCCGGAAGACTTTCTTGGGAGCAGTGGGAGCTGTGCTTACAATTCTCTGAAATGGTGCAAGCATTTTCTAGCACAGCCATCAATAATGGCATGAATATGTATGATGTTGCATTAAAATGATGCCCATGAATAAATTAAGCATAGGCAGATGACTTATGAAGGAAATTGTATCAAACTGTAGCAATTGTTAGGCATATTTCTTCCTTGGAGACTTTTGTTTTCTTGGAAGTTCTCAGGTTTCTCTTTGGGAAGAACTTTCCATTACCGGAGGGAGGGGTTCACCATTGGAAAGGTCTTTTCTGCAGGAATCACCCATTGCACCTCACTCAGGTCTCCCTTTGTTTTTAAGGACACCTACATCATAAGACGGAACACAGGTGGCACTGTGGGTTAAACCACAGAGCCTAGGGCTTGCCGATCAGAGGGTCGGCGGTTCAAATCCCCGCAATGGGGTGAGCTCCCGTTGCTCTGTCCCTGCTCCTGCCAACCTAGCAGTTCGAAATTATGAAGTGCAAGTAGATGAATAGGTACCGCTCCGGTGGGAAGGTAAATGGCATTTCCGTGTGCTGCTCTGGTTCGCCAGAAGCAGCTAAGTCATGCTGGCCACATGACCCGGAAGCTGTACGCCGGGTCCCTCGGCCAGTAAAGCGAGATGAGCGCTGCAACCCCAGAGTCGTCCGCGACTGGACCTAATGGTCAGGGGTCCCTTTACCTTTACATCATAAGACCAGGCCAGCTTCTCAGATTAGAAGCCACAGTCACAGAGTAGCAAGGACACATGCTCAGCCAGAGGAACCCCAGCAGTCCGGCTGATGTAGCTGTGATTCCTGCATTGCAGGGGGTTGGACTAGATGGCTCTTTGAATCACTTGCAACACTATAGTTCTGATTCTGTGACTCCTAACTGCATTGAGAACATTTTAAGCTACTTGCTGCTATGCAAAGGTTAACTGGTTGCTGCAGCATTTAGAAATATAGTGGTGGAGAGGAGACGAACGGAGTAGACTGTTTGCAGGCTGGAAATGAATAACTGATTCATTGGTGGTAGTAAATGAGCCTTGATCTGATTTTAAGTGCACTGACAGTAGAATTTATTTTGCATTTAATTGCTTTCTTAAGCTGCTGAGGATGAGGTGGTTTTTAACCAAAAAATTACATAGGTTCCCACCAAATCATCTCAAATGGGCAGAAGACTTAATTATATTTATTGGGTTAAAAAAAAGCAAGCAAGCCCTAGAGCACTGTGTATAACTGGAATTGGTAGGTTTTTTTGGTCATTTTTACCATAGCTTATATCACCTCTTTCTCTTCCCACTTCCCATTTTTCAGCAATGGAAGTACAGTAGCTGTGATTCTCATGCCATATAAACCATCTTGATTCGTTATTAAATTCTTTTTATTAATCTAAAGCACTACAAAGAATTTGAATGGCTAAATCAGGTGCTCAATAGTCATTTCCTCTCTGCTGTAGCGCTATAAATATGAGACTCATTTACGAGCCTGAGATGCCAGATGAGAAGGGTTCTGTCGGCCTTCATCTTTATTGCTTTGTGTTACGGCAAAATGGGGAAGAGGGTCCCCCCCCCCCGATAAAACATGCCATAATGCACACTCTCTTTCTAGGTTCTTAAGTAAAATGCAAGCCCCCTCAGAAAGCTCCCTACCTCCTCGTGGCATTGGGGAAAACAAGACCTGTCCTTTGTGGGGTTCGGTTGCTGAAAATGGGATCTGGGCAGGAACAGCACAGTCTATTAAGCTGTTTTTAAAATACTTTGAGAGTTAGTCCATCCATGCAGGGACTCCTGAGATTCTGTCCCATAAAGAGGGAGAAGAGGCAGTGCAAAATGGATTCCCCTCTAATAGCCAGCTCAGGTGGTTGGAGGCCAAGAGGAATAGAACACCAGGTTGAAGAGGAAAGTATCCACATGCCGAAGTAAGCTGCAAGACATGCAATGGAAAAAAGGAGGCATTGAGGATGGGCCGAAATTCCTGTTTGAAATCCTTACACAATTTGCTAGCAACCTGGGGGGAGGCCATAAGGACCTGGGGTGCTGTGCAAGAGCTGAACTCTTCTCAGGGGATGAGGATACACTGCACCCTTTTTGTTGCAGGTCCCCTTTCTGCTCATAGTGACACTGACTTTCCCAGTCCAGCTCAGAGTAACTGAGCCCATAGCATCTATCTGTTTATTTAAATTTATGCCACTTGATTGCCTTAAACAAAACAAAAAGCAATTACCAAAAAGATAAAACATTAAAATCCAGGAAAAAAATACAACAATACTTTAAACCATACAAAAGTTAAAATACAAAAACAGATTAAAATTCACATCAGCTTTCTAAGCATATGGACAGGCTTATCAAAACAGGAATTCTTTTAGCAGTCACCAAAGGAATACCGGGAAAGCACCTGCTTGATATTAAGATACAGGGAGTTCCAAAGTACAGGTGCTTCCACACTAAATGAATGAGTTCTTACAAATGCAGACTGGGTATGGAATTCTGTTCAGGGGTGGGAATCACAAGGGTCCTCTAGTCCGACACGCTGCAATGCAAGGATCTTTTGCCCGATGTGGAGCTCAAACCCATCACCCTCAGATGTCTCATGTTCTATGAACTAAGTTATCTCAGTGGAACAGACTCCCTTGGAAGGTGATGGTCTGTAGTTCACTGGAGGATTTTAATCTGAGATTGAGTGGCCACCTGTCAGGGATGCTTTAGCCATGATTCCTGCATTGCAGGGGGTTGGACTAAATCAGTGTTTCCCAACTCGGGGCCATACGGCCCCCTGGGAGCCCCCAGGATATTCCAAGGGGGCCACAGGTGGAAATCCCGTAAATGGGGGTGGGGCACAGCACAAGGCTAGGGGGCCACAGAGGGAAATGAGAAGTAAAGGGGGAAATCATTTTTTTTTTTTTTAAATCCTGATTGACTGGCTATCTGCTTGGCCAATCACAAGTTGGCAAGAGGGTGGCCAACCAGGTCCTAATGCTCCTTTTTGCCACATGGGTTTTCTTGGAGCAGTCCTGGTTTGTTTCTGGAGGGAGAGGGTGATTGCTGAGCCTCCCATTTTGACCAGTAGAGCCTGCTGTCCAGAACCCCCAGGTCTGGTGAGTGCAGTGGTGGGGCAGCAATTGATAGGGCTGGGCAAGCCGGAGCTGCTTGTTGGTGTTTCCAGTGCTGGATGCGGTGGCAGCCTGGGCCTGACTCTGCAAGGTGCAGGGTGCAATCCACCCCAGCACCTAGTGGATCAGGGCCTTCGGATGTTGCCAAGTGACGCAGGGCCCGTCGGCCTGGCTCTACAAGGCACCCGGTGAAATCCACCCCAGTGCCTAGTTGAGTGGGGTTATCTGGTGTTTCTGACTTGCATCTAGTAAATAACTAAGTCTACTCAAAAGAAAGCCACACCGAGTTCAGTGGGCCTTACTCCCAGGTAAGGGTGTGGGGGGCTATAGTGTTTTATCTAGGCAGCCAGGGCTTCTCTGAATGACGAGCTTTTTGCACCAAGTCAGCGAGGACCACTTTCTTTTTAAGATTCTCCCATATATACAGAACTCCCTGTGCACCTTTTGGACTGTATCTGTAGGTTTCCACCTCTGTGTCAAATAACTAGGGTCAATTAAGTATTGTTTACTTTTTTTAATACATAGAAGATGGATCTCCCTCAGGAGGTTCTGGAATCAACTTCCGTGGTGGTTTCTAAGCAGAGGTTGGATGGGCATCTGTCATGGATGCTTTAGCAGAGTTTCCTACATTGCAGGGGGTTGCACTAGAAAGATGATTCTATGTTTTTCTGTTTCAACAATGTTTCATTTTGTTTCTATCATTTTATGTAATTGTATTTTGTATAAACTATAAAAAATATAAATATAACATGTTCTATTTACAAACAAAACATTTAAATAGCTAACTTTCTACCAGTAGGATGGAAGGTGGCATGGGTGTAGCCAGGATTTTTGTTAGGGGGGGCAGAACCTCAGATTTGTATTGATTTGTTACTTATGGGGGGCAGCTGCTCTCCCCTGCCCCCTTCAGCTAAGCCCATGGGGTGGGCCACAGGAAGGAAACCAGGTCGGAAGGGAGCCATGGTCGGAAAAAGGTTGGGGAACACTGGACTAAATAGCCATCAGGATCTCTTCTAGCTCTACAGTTCTGTAATTCTATTCTTCTATGTTCCTTCCAGAGGCAAACCATCTGTTTATACAACTTTTGTACTAGGACAGTAATGCTTTCTTCAGGTATTTTGAGTACATAGGCTTTAAGCATCTAAACCCAACTTTACCCAGTTAGGGCACACAGTTAAGCAAAGTAATGGAGCTGGGTCTGTAAAATACTGGAAATCAAGTGACGCTAGCCACCCCATTAAGGAAACCATCAAGGAATAAACGGCACAGCAATAGGGCTTTATGAATATTTGGAAAAGACAAAGAAGAATTATCTCAATCCTCAAGATCATTCAAAGCTCAGTGCAAGGGTGGCTAGAGGTTTGCCTGATGAATCTGGGAGGAGGAGGAGAAGATGAAGAAGAAGAAGAAGAATTTATTATTTGTACCCCGCCCGTCCGGCTGGGTTTCCCCAGCCACTCTGGGTGGCTTCCAACAAAGATTAAAAATACATTAAAATGTCACACATTAAAAACTTCCCTAAACAGGGCTGCCTTCAGATGTTTTCTAAATGTCAGGTAGTTGTTTATCTCTTTGACATCTGATGGGAGGGTGTTCCACAGGGCGGGTGCCACTACCGAGAAGGCCCTCTGCCTGGTTCCCTGTAGATTTGCTTCTCTCAGTGCGAGAACCGCCAGAAGGCCCTTGCCGCTGGACCTCAGTGTCCCGGCAGAACGATGGGGGTGGAGACGCTCCTTCAGGTATACTGGGCTGAGGCCGTCGGAGCATAAACCAATCTGGCAGGTTGCATGGGGAATGGCTTGTTCCCAGGAAAAACCCTCACCCCCACAAAAAAACCCTTCTCACCCTAGAAACATGGGGAAAGAAGTGTTGCAATGTTGAGGTCACATAACACTGTTTAGCAGCCACATTGCAGCACAGGTGAAAATAGCAACACCACATGCATGCCCCAGCCAACAATTTCCAGTGAAGGAAAGTGGTGGAACTGGAGCCCCTTTTCAAACCATCCACAGCATAATTTGTTACCCTCTCCTGCTGCCCCCAAACTTCCTGTGGGGAAAGGGGAGGCCATAAGAATCCCAAGATGAGTCCCCTTCAGGAGTCAGGCTCCAGGTGCTGCCTTGAACTGGCGCTTCTCAACCTGGCAACAAAGTTTTCAGTTCAGATCACCAAAGCAGGGTGCCAGGAATCAAAATAGAAGTGTCTGGCTTTCTCCCATGGCTGCTGATGTCCCTTTGCTTTCATCAGCCTGGGAAAGGAGTTTTATTTGGCTGGGGAAGAGGGGCGGTCCTGGTCAGGAGCTGGTAGGCTGAATAGATGTCAGGGGAGTCCAGGTGTATTCATCTGACTTCTTATTTTCTGCCTGCCTTGGAGTCGTGTGTCTCTTTGTTTGTGCCCACCCTGTACCTTGCATTGCAAGGGAAGTCAAGTTTGAATGAAATTCATTGCTTTAATTTGAAGTAAATAGGTAAAATGCAATAAAAGAAGTGTGTGTTGCACTTTCCAGTTAAGCATTGTTGCTAATGGGAATCCATCAATCACAGCAGATGTTCTAAGCGGCTGCTACCCCCAAGACCCTCTCATTGCAAGGAGTTGGACTACATGACCCTTGGGGTCCCTTCCAACTCTAAAGTTCTGTGATTCTATGCGGTGGAGATGATTCAATCTTTTCTGGCTGGTGCTTCCAGCCCTCCTCTGCCCTCTTGTGGGGCTTTGTCATTTCTAGAGCATCACTAATCCATCACGAAGGATGGCTTTGCCTTTGCCTTTCTGTTCCTTCTAAATCAAATTGTCAAAACCTATTGTGAAAAAACACCTTTGAAATGTTTTCTGTTTCTGGGCGAGAATTGAGACTATGACACGAGTGGGATCCAACCTCCCCACACTCACTTTCTGCGGGTGTTCCAGTCAACCCTCCTTGGAGACACCAGGGAGCAGGGTTAGAAACTCACAGCTTGGTCCAAAATGACTGCTTAAACCAAGGTTGTAGTCACCAAAATGGAATGTTTTGTTGTCATTTTTGGGCAAGACGGCTCTAAAGTCTTATTTTTCAAATGGTGGGCTGACTTTGATTGATTCTCAGTTAAACATCTGGCTAGTTTTGATGACAATCTTGAGCTAGGTTAAAAGCTCTGAGAACTTAAAGAAGAAAATTCACTTCATTCAGGGACAGTTCCTGTATATATTGACCTATTCCAAGCTCCTTTTCTTAATGGTGACTGTTCCTGCTCAGGCTGCACAGAAAAAGCAATTTGGTTCCAGAAATTCATTCCAATTATGCAGATAAAATATAACTGAAAGAATTCTACAGGATGGGATATTAGTGTGTGAAAATAATCCAGATCCAATGAGATATTGAGAGTCATCCTGGCACCCAGGCATCTTCACTTGGTCGCAAGTGGTCAAAATACAGGTGCAAAATGCAACTGGAGCCTGGCTAATTTCGAACACTGCCAGGGAGTCAACCTCACTGGGCTTACTCTGGAGTAAACCTGGGTAGATATGTTCAGGGCACATGCAAAACTCTGGAGCAGAAAGTGGGAATTCTGTGTTTTGGGGAGCAGCTGGTGTTCTGTCTTTCTCTCTCTCACCCCCCCCCCCCCCGAGACAGAAAAATACCTTGAGCTTTAGGCAATGTGGTTGCAAAACCAACTTCACCCAGCTCCCACCTCCACCCTGTACAATTTATTACTACTGCTGCTACTACTACTACTACTACTACTACTACTAATAATAATAATAATAAAATAAAGAGACCACTGGGCCTTTTACATATTAAAACATAACATACATAATATAATTGGGGCTTTTTTTCAGCCATAACTCACTGGAACTCAGTTCTGTCACCTCTCAGTTGGATGCCATTGCCATTATAAGAAAACAAAGGAAGCATTCATAGTGAGTTCTGGCACCTCTTTTTCTAGAAAAATAGCACTGAATATAATAATAGTAAAAGTGGGGGAGACAGCACCCATTCCATGCCACTTTCTCAGATGTCTCTGATGCAGGGATGCTACTGCAGGCAGTGGGAATCCTTAACAAACTACTAAGACTTATCTGCTGTAATGAAAAACCAGCAAAACCTTTCTCAAGGAACTGGAGGGGTTTGTCTAGGTACAGCCCCCTTCTTTCTCTCTGAACTACTGTGTAAGCTGTTTTCACTGTCCGATCCCACACCTGCAGTGTGGGAACAGAAACCTTGGCCTACACTGTGAGGTTGTAGGTTTCTTCCCCCCACTTTAAGCTGCAAGCAACTTTTAAACCTCGGAGTCCCACCATCAGCCCCTCGTGTAAAATTACAAAATCGTCCAGTAGCACCTTAGAGACCAACTAAGTTTGATCTTGGTATAAGCTTTCGTATGCATGCACACTTTTTCAGATACACTGAAACAGAAGTCACCAGACCCTTATATATAGTGGGAGGATGGGGTGGGGTTTTTCTCAGAAGGGTAGTAGGATATGGGTGATTGACTCAGTGGGTATGGTAAACCTGTGGCTGTTAACGATTGCAGTTAGTCCTACAGGAAAAAGCAAGGGATAGTATGCAGATGACCAAAAATAGCTTTAGCCTATGTAATGAGACAAGAATCCAATATCTCTATTCAGACCAGGTTTCTCCATAGTTTTCAGTTTAGTAACTGAATAGAGATATTGGATTCCTGTCTCATTACATATGCTAAAGCTATTTTTGGACATCTGCATACTATGAGAGCTGTTCTCTCATGTTTGAAAACTGCGCCTGAAAGAGGAGCCTCTTTCCCCAAGGAGTTCCGCGGGAGTCCACTCGGGGTGGAGCTACTGGGTTGGGCGGGTTGGAAACGGCCCCCGAGGTTGCCTCTGTCAACCAGGCAATGATCCACTCTACAGCTTTCCTATCTCTATAGAAGAGCGTCGGGTAGTTCCGCGCCGGAGGCTGGGACTGCAACTCCCGGTATCCCACGGGCGACGGGCTTCCTGCCCCTCCCCTCCCTTCTCTCCGCCCACATCCGGTCTCCTTTCCCTGCCGGCCGTTCGCATCCTTGCGTTCTCCCTGGGCGGCTTCCCGGCGGCGATGCGGCGATGTTCGTGCAGGAGGACAAGATCTTCGCGGCGAAGGTGCTGCGGGTCCGCGTCTGCGCCCTGGACGGCACCGAATGGCTGGAGGAGGTGCCCGAGGACGCGGCCGTGGAGCGGCTCAAAGAGCGCTGCCTCAAACGCGTGAGCGGAGGGGAGCAGAGGAGGGAGCGGAGGGGGGCGCTGAATGCGGGGCCTGGCCAGGGGTCCTTATGTGCTCGGAGCGGCCCCGATCCTGCTGGGTTCATCAGCGGGGGGGGGGGGGGGAGGGAGGCTTTGCAGGGCCAGCGTTGAAGTGGCGGCTGGTAGACGCGCCCGCCTCCCCGCTTCATAGCTGTCAACGCTTCCCTTTTTTAAATTCCGAATAGGATTCCTCGCAAGAAAAGGGAGAAGTTGACAGCTATGCCCCGCTTGCAGTCGCAGTTGTTGCCTCGAGAAGCTGTCGGATCCGACCCTCGGCCCTCTGGGGTTGGGAGTCAGGGGTGCTGCTATGTCCCCTCCTCCGCGGGGCCTTCTGCAGGCGAAGCTGGTGTTCAGCTGCGGAATTCCAGCCTTCCCTACCTTGCGTTCACTTCCTTCTCTCCCAGGGTTTTTCTGACCGTTTGTGATTTTGCAGAACATAGGGGCTGGGTTTTGTTTTGTTTTGTTGTTGCTGCGATGTACCTTGGAAGCGTTTGGCCCAGGTGCAAAAGGCTTGCGTGCACACACACCCCATCCCCACCCCCAGTTTAGTAGTTTGATTCAGCTTCTGCTTCTTTTTACTTTCCCACCTCAGTGTGCACCCGGCAGCCTGGAGGATCCAAAATGTGTAACACACCATAAATTGATACATGCAGCTTCAGAAAAGGTGCTGACCGACACAAAAACGGTCCTGGAGGAAAATATTCAAGACCAAGGTAAGGGAGTGTTGTGATAAGTAACACCCCAGGGAGTATCCAGATACCCAGAATGTGCAATTAGTCTTAAGCAATGGGCAGAAGTGTGCCTATCTGAATTGCTGTCTGGAGGACAACTTTCAGCTTCTTAAGCACTCAGGACACTGAGGGGAATGTGACTGTATCATTTACTGCCATATGCTGTCCTCAGAAATAGTATTAAAGTCATTACTCTTCAGGCAGCCCCCCGTTTATGCACGTTCAATATGTGAACAATTGTGTATACGTGCATCATACTGAAGCCAGAAGTGACCTGGAAGCATCATGAAAAAAATCACTGAAGCATCACTAAAAGGGGGAACAGGGTGTTGCAGGCTTTTCAATAGGTTTCAATTATTCGCGATTTCACTGACGTGTGCTGTGCCTCAGAACACCCATATAAATGGGGGCCTGTATTTCATTTCTCCTTGTGGACTCATCTTCTACTGGTGGGGGCATAACACAGCAGAATACTTTATCTTCCCATACCCCCTTTGCAGAAAATGTGCAAGGAAGGCTTGTTCTCTGACTCCAGACAATTCTTCTCTCTCTAGATGTTTTAGTGCTAGTCAAGAAAAGAGCTCCACCTGCCCCTCCAAAAATGGTGGACATTTCTGCAGAGGAAAAAGTGAGTCCAGGGGCCTTGTGGGGTGGCTTCTTCTGGCCTTTGCCTTGACAAGTTGTAGAAAGATACCTGTGGCTCATCTGGCTTGGATTTCAGGAGAGAGCCCATCTTGTCAGCTTGTAGGAGTATTTCTGCTTCTTTCTTTGCATCCTTTAAGGCACAGTCTGCCTGTGTTTACCCTGTGAGTCTCTTTGTGAAAAAACAGCCAGCATGGGAGCTACCCAAAGCCAGTGCAGAGCAGATCTCCCAGGGCACTGGGAGAAATTTTAAGAGTGAGGTTTAGGAAGTAGAGCTGTGTGGCTGATTGTGTGCATGTTGGGCGGCAAAGGCAGATCTGGGCAGCAGGTGGGAAGCAGCTGCTCTCTCTCTCTCTCCCCCCGCCCCCAGCCGGCTTTGAGCTCTATGTCCCTGCAGCCTATTTTGGGCGGTGTGTGCTGATCATTCAAGATCTCCTAGGTTCTATATTTAGCTGCTTGCTGGCAGCCTTCCTATCCTTAATTGATAAGCAGGGTGTCTGTATGTCCCCAAGAGAGCAGTTATCAATGCACACATCTTGTAAGGCATTTTTTTAAAGGGCCAGGGGATATTTTTTCTCCAACATTTTTGTGGAAGAGATGAAAAGAACTGCAAGGCAAGAGGCATGACTAGCTGGCCAACAAAATGTGCATGTAGGGTGGTTGGGAAAGGGTGGCTGTTGCATTGTCCCCCCACCTGGTGGGCACCATTGGCAGAGAGTGAGAGGGTGCTTCCCTAAAGGATCTAGAAAGGCTCCTCAAGAAATGAAACCCTCATTATAAGAGGAATGGGCATTTCCTTTCTGGAGGAGCTGGTTCTTGTCTCATTGATGCCTGCTTCTTTGAAGGAGATTGCTGCACTATGCAGACAGCATATTTCACTTCTCTTTTAGCGGAAACAGGAACAGAAGGCACCTGACAAGGAGGCAATTCTGAAGGCAACCACCAGCCTCCCGTCCCACAGTGTGGACCGCAGTGTGGCTCACCACAGTATGAGGGATGTGAGTACTCTGCTTCTCTTCTGGGCTGCTACAGTCTGGGGCCCATCAGCTCTGCTCAGCGATCTCTAGCAGTCACTACTCTGCTGGCTAGGGATGCAGGTGGTGCTGTGGTCTATACCACTGAGCCTCTTGGGCTTATTGATTGTAAGGTTGGCAGCATGATGGGGTGAGCTCCTGTTGCTCTGTCCCAGCTCCTGTCAACCTAGCAGTTTGAAAGCATACCAGCACAAGTAGATCAGTAGGTACCACTGTGGCAGGAAGGTATACTTGTCAGAGTGTTTCGTGCACCAGAAGTGGTTAAGTCTTGCCACATGATCCGGACGATGCAATTAAAGGAATTAAGGTGGGGAGCAAAGCCTATAAATTGAAAGCATTCACAGATGATCTAGTAATCACGGTGGAAGATCCGATAGTTTTGTTATCGGAAGTACAGTGATACCTCGGGTTACAAACGCATTGGGTTACAGACTCCGCTAACCTGGAAGTAGTGCTTCCGGTTAAGAACTTTACCTCAGGATGAGAACAGAAATTGCGTGGTGGCAGCAGTGGGAGGCCCCATTAGCTAAAGTGGTACCTCAGGTTAAGAACGGTTTCAGGTTAAAAATGGACCTCCCGAACGAATTTAAGTTCATAACCAGAGGTACCACTGTATTGAGGAAAATAAAAAAAATCGACCTAGTATCAGGTTTTAAATTAAATAAACAAAAACAAAACGTATAGTTTAAAATGTCTCAGGACAAGATAAAATTAAGATAGAAGAGAAGGCAGGTATAAATATTCATAAAAGAGTGAATTCTTTAGGAATTTGGCCAACAGGAAAAATATAAATATAATTAAAGATAACTAGGAAAAAACATGGAAAGAGATAAAGAGGAATTTAGAGATTTGGAGAAGAATAAATATGTCATTGATAGGAAGAATATCATTGATAAAAATGAATGTGATAATAGAGTACAGTGGTACCTCAGGTTAAGTACTTAATTCATTCTGGAGGTCCGTTCTTAACTTGAAACTGTTCTTAACCTAAAGCACTACTTTAGCTAATGGGGCCTCCTGCTGCTGCTGCGCCGCTTTCTGTTCTCATCCTGAAGCAAAGTTCTTAACCTGAAGCACTATTTCTGGGTTAGTGGAGTCTGTAACCTGAAGCGTATGTAACCTGAGGTACCACTGTATTGTCAAGAGTATGTAGCTTGTTGCTTGAATGGGATACTAAGGATGAAGACGTCAAATGTGTAGTGATAAAGTGAGAGGGAAGACATGGGACATAATATCCAAATGTCAGATTGGAAAAAATTGTGGGGAAATGATTTGAAATTTACGGCTTGTACATTGTTAAAAGAAAATTATATGAAAATGATGTATAGGTGGTATTTAACGCCAGTAAAATTATCATAAATGTACAAATCAGAAGAAATGAAATGTTGGAAATGTAAAGAGGTAGATGGTACATTTTATCATGTGTGGTGGCAATGCAAAGTTATAAAGAATTTTTGGGAAAGGATATCTAATGAATTGAAAAAAATGCTTAAAAGAACTTTTGTTAAAAAGCCAGAAGCCTTTTTATTAAGAATAACAGCAAGGGGAATACCCCAAAAATATAAAAATCTATTTATGTATGCAACCACGGCCGCACGAAAATTGATAACCAAATGCTGGAAAGAGGAAAAAAATTTCACGAAGAAAGATGGGCAAATTAAGTTGATGGAATATACAGAGATGGCAAAATTAACAGGAAGACTCAGAAATCAGGATGATAACAAATTTAACAATGAATGGGAATTATTATTATTTTTGCATATATGTCAAAGCATTGTATACAAGTTGATACATCAGGATTCGAAAAACATTTGCAGTATTATGATGATAGATAAGAATTAGATATATACGGATTGAAAATATGACCTGGACATGCTTGATATAACCAAAAATAATGGAGCCATGGAGAGGGGAGAGGGAAGTCACAGGATGGGAAAATTCCCACATTGTGATATTGTATCAATGTTTATTTTATATGATGTTCGTTATGGAAAAACTACTTTAAAATTTTATTTTTTAAAAAAGAGACGAGCACCACACCCCATAGTCGATTTCAACTGGACTTAACTGTCCAGGGGTCGTTTACCTTTACTCTGTTGGCTATGAGCACCCAGGGACAGCTGCTCCCTCCTGCCCTTCAGGGGCCCAGTTTACAAATTATGGTTCTGTTTAGCCATCATTAAAAATAAGTGATGGTTCACTGCAAAGTAGTTGCATGCTTCTGTACTAATGAATCCTCGCTGGGTCTCTACACTGCTTCCTGTTATTGCTACATCAGGGCATAAACAAAGCTGAGTCTGGCTCTCATCTTGCTGGAGTCAGGGCAGCAGAAAAGGTACCCAGTCCAGACAGCACTGGATTCTAGCTATGGCTGCCTGTCTGTCAGTGTCATGTGTGGAAGGTTGGCTGCTTTTGAATCTCATACCAAAAGGTATTCTCCACCCCTGTGTTAAGCCATCATTTATTTATTTATTTAATTTTACTATATGATACAAAAAAAGAAATAGAAAAAAAGAAATAGAAACAATACATAACCATACATAAAAACAATTTGTCTACACAATTTTCCAGAATGCAGACTAGAAAAGAAGAAAGACAAAAGATAAAAGAAAGAAACAAGAAAAAAATGAAGAGAAAAAATACTTTTCATAATCAATTATTCCAAATTCATACTTCAAACATTACAATATTTAAATCCTAGTTAAAATATTATAAAAGACTTCCACCACATTCACCACACGTCTCTTGGTTATCTAATTCACCTTTACATCTGTTCTTCAGTCCCTTTCCTTAAATTCTTTCAGAGTCCATCTAATCTTTGTATTCTCTGTATTCTTCACAAGGTTAGTCTAAGCACAACCAAACTTTCGTGTTTGATGCCTGTTTGTGTAAATATTCATTTAAGCATTCCCATTGTTTCTGTATCATAGTTTTAGATTTATGCCTTATTATATCTGTCAATTTTGCTAACTCCAGATACTCACATAGTTTACTTAACCATTCCTTTTTTTGTTGGGATGTTATTTACTTTCCAGTAACTGGCCACCAACATTCTCGCTGCTGTTGTTGCATATAGGAATATGTTAATTTTATCTTTGGGGATATCTTTACTCAAAATTCCTAATAAGTACGTTTCTGCCCTTTTGTTATATGAAACCTTTATTATTTTTTTAATTTCTTCATGGATCGTTTCCCAAAAATTTTTGATCTCTGAACATGTCCACCACATATGGTATAGAGTGCCCTTCATCTTATTGCATCTCCAACATTTATTACTAATCAATCTATTCATTTTTGCTAGTCTGTCTGGTGCCATATACCATCATTTTTAACTATGGTTGAATGTCACTAGCAAACCAGGCCAGTGATTTGGCATCCTCCTTTTCTTGATGGAACTAATAACTTGTGTGTGTTGGAAAGCAATCAGGTTAATAAGATGTTGTGATCTGATTGACTTTTTGCAAGATTTCATGGATGGTGCTTTTCTAGTATTAGCGTAATATGAGTGTATTCTTAAGCTGCACCTCTTTCCCCGAGCCTTTGACACCTGAGCCCCACAGTGTTTTTCTGATTTGAACATTGTATTGTTATTTTATTGTAACCTACCTATAAACCTTATGGTGAAAAAAAGGTGTTTAAGAAACCCCCCATACCTTCCTCACCCCCTTCATTCTGCTCAGTACTCTTTGCCCTCCCTCGCTCCTGGCACAGGAACAAGGGCGGAAGGTGCATGCCTGACAAGTGACCTACAAAATGCCTTGACTGCCTTCCCTCTTTCAGTTCCAGACGGAGCTTCGGAAGATCTTGGTTTCTCTCATAGAAGTTGCCCAGAAGCTGCTAGCTTTGAACCCAGATGCAGTTGAGCTCTTTAAGAAAGCAAATGGTACGGTGGGGTGTTTTCTGACCTTCTTCCTAGGACTTACATCCTGAGGTGTGTTTGGTCCACTGGTCATACAGAGGGGCTGACATGGCTCCTGCCATGGACTGCAAGCACTGTTTTGGAGATTGGGAAGGTCTGGGGAAGTTTAAGCGTGGTGGGGAGCAAGTGCCCCCCTGCTTTCGTGAGTAGAGATCGATGCTCCAAGCACACATGGACCTGCTTTTCCGCAGCACTCGTAGAGCTGAGGTGTGAACTGACCTTGCCATTCTTGTCCCTAGCCATGCTGGATGAAGATGAGGACGACCGAGTGGATGAGATTGCCTTGCGCCAACTGACAGAAATGGGCTTCCCAGAAAGCAGAGCGGTCAAAGCCCTTCGCTTGAACCAGTAGGTGTCCCTGGCAATTGAGCCTCCCCTTGAGATGGGTCCCCGCCCCCCACAGAAGACTGTAAGTGAAGACTCATAGAATTGTAGAGCTGGAAGGAACCCTGAGGGCCATCTAGTCCAACCCCCTGCAATGCAGGAATCTCAACTAAAGCACTGATGGCAGATGTCCATCCAGCCTCTGCTTAAAAACCTCCAAGGAAGGAGAGTCCACCACCTTCCAAGGGAGTCCATTCCACTGTTGAACAGTTCTTACTGTCAGAAAAGTTCTTCCCAGTGTTTAGTTGGAATCTCCTTTCTCGTAACTTGAATCCATTAGTTCGGAACCTACTCTCCAAAACAGGAGAAAGCAAGCTTGCTCCATCTTCCATGGGACAACCTTTGAGATATTTGAAGATAGCTATCATATCTCCTCTCATTGTCCTCTTATTGTCCTCTTCTCCTGGCTAAACATACTCAATTCCCTCAACTATTAAGACTTGGTTTCCATATCCTTGATTATTTTGGTTGCCCCCTCTACACACTTTCCAGCTTGTCCATATCCAGAGCACTCATTGAAATTAACCAACATGACAACAGGAGCTATAACCCTTTATATTGAACTTGTGCTTCGCTTCTGAGGATGAGCTGTTCCCTTTGTTAAGCATTATATATATATTAAGTGATGGTCTGATGACTTGATACCAGTAAATGAATCCGAATTGGAGAGGCTCCTTCTCCCATGATTGCATTGCTATTTGGGAATGCTATGTATAGGTATGCTTATTTTTTTTTTTAAAAAAAGAAAGGTTCCAGGGAGAGCCACCATGTGATTTCTCTCCCTGTTCCCTTTCCAACATATTCCCCAAGCATATTATAGGTTTTATGAGCCAGGGGAATGGCGGGGGGCTGTTGCTGGTAGACAGAACTGCAAGTGAGTGTGAAGAGATGGTTGGCTGCCTGTTTTCAAGTGACAGGAGCAAGTAGAGTTGGCCACTTGCTGCCTCTTCAGTTTTGTGAATACACAGAATATACAGAAGTTGTAGCTTTCTGCTGCTCTTGAGGGAATTGGTGGTGAATGGTGAATGCTCGAGCTTAGAATGGGAGGCCCAGCCAAGTTTCCAGGCTGAATTAGCCAGTTGGCGTTGAGTTCTGTGAGCACTTGCCATAGTTCCTGCCCCTCTATGGCTTGCTAAAGGTCCCCAGCAACACCCAGGTCTCTGTGTTCCAGGTGTGCAGTTCCACAGAGTTTCAGCTGTCCTTCATTTCCTCCAGCTTGTTTCTGGTGCACACGCATAATGCTCTTTCTCTCCCAGGCTCTCTTGTCTCATAGAATCATAAAACTGTAGAGTTGGAAGGGACCCTGTGGGTCATCCAGCCCAACCCCTTCAGTGCAGGAAGCTCAGCTAAAGCCACCCAACCTCTGCTTAAAAACCTCCAGTGAAGGAGAGCTCACCACTTTGCAAGGGAGTCCGTTCCACTGAAGTACAAAAGTGTGGCTGGTAGTCACTGTGGTTTGCAGGGCCACTGGCAAAAGTGGCAGGAGCCAAAGTCCACTGAGAATCGGCAAAGGGTAAACCCCCACCCCCACCCCAGTTTGTTTCTGCCCCAATGTAGTTGATGCTGCTTCCTTATTTGTCAACTTTTTCACCCAGCATGTCTGTGACTCAGGCCATGGAGTGGCTGATTGAACACTCGGATGACCCCACCGTTGATGCCCCCCTGCCAGGTCAGTTCTCTCTGGAAAATGCCTCAGTGGAAGGAGTGGCAGCCCCCCCTGCCCAGGCGCTCGAGGGGCCCAACCAAGAAGTCGGGAGAGAAGAGCCAAAAGATGAGCTGACAGAAATATTCAAGAAGATCCGCAGGAAAAGAGAGTTCCGGCCTGATCCGCGGGTATGCTTTCTGTATGTGCACATGTGTTCTTTTGGATTTTGGTGTGAGAGTCTGCTGGTGCCACTGGAAATGGTCCATAAATTCTCAGTCCACAGTGTGTCAGATTCCCAAAATGGACATTTGATTCTATACAGTGGTGGTATTTTGTGGTAACTGCTTTTTTAATCTGAAAGCTGTGGCCGTCTGTTTTTTCCCCAAAAGCCAACATGATAAAAATGCTTTTGGGTAGGATGGTAACCATTTAGAAATTGTTCAGCTTCCCAGCTTGTCCCATGGGCTGTTGCAGGCATCTCTAGTGCTGCTGCTGTCAAAACACCCACTTCAAATTTTCCAGCACTGACACCAAAAGGGCCCAATCTAGCCTGTGATATATTTTTGCATCTCTTGCATCTCAGAGAGTGGTGACAAGTGGGGCTCATCAAAATCAATGCATACTCTTTTACAGACAGGCTTGTGTTTTACAATCTCCTTGCTCCTAGAAACTTGGCCTCTCTCCTCCTCTTCTGCCACGTACTTGGGTATGGCCCTTGTATGTTGTAGACCTTTGGAAGGGCTTTGCCCTTGTCCCTGACATAAGCTCTGTGGTTCTGCTTTCAGGCTGTCATTGCCTTGATGGAGATGGGCTTTGATGAGAGAGAGGTGGTGGATGCCCTCCGAGTGAACAACAACCAGCAGAACGCAGCAGTGAGTACCTGTACCATCATGCCTGGGGGCTCTGCCTGTTCTCTTTTGCCTCCCAAACCATCACATGCACCTTGTGGGTGCCTTTGGGTGATGAGCCTCATGATGTGGGTGAATTCTTTCAAGGTCCCTTCTGTGGGGAACGTTTAGCGGATGGCATGGCTTTTTCCTAGATGCACCAAGAATGGATCCTTGCATTTGAGATTTTGGTGGAGATGCATGTAATTCTCCCTCTTTAAAAACCCTGGGCCACCCCAGTGCAATTGAATTGGCACAATCCTTGATCCCTGCCATGAAATGCAGTAATTCCTGCTTAGTGGAGAATTTTATAAAGCTGCAGCTTATTTCAGCTCATCCTGTTAGGACTCCTTTGGGCTTGGGAGTTGGAAGCCACATGTGAGGAGCTAGTGTTAAGCGGGATAGCACATGGAAGTTGTACTTTGCAGTGGGTGGCAAATGCCAAGCCTTATACTGGAAAGGACCATTGCTGGGCTGGGGTGGTAGTAGTAGAGAGGGGTTAGAGCAGGTAGCCTGCTTCTGTGTGAAATCTCCATTGGCTTCCTTGGAGCTTGTGTTCGTCTGCCATGCTCTTGTTTCCCTCATCAGAAAACAAATGTTGTTGGAAGATGGATGCTCTGTAAAAGCAAGCGAGGAGTGAGGCTGTTGCACTGGGGGGCTTTTCTTTTTTTCATCTGGCCACCAGATTCTCTAGAAAATGCTTGAAAAGCAGGTCTGTGTAGCAGGAGAAATTGTCTCCTTCCTGGGTGAGCTTCTGCTGCTTTCAGGTAATCTCTTAAGAAACTTTGTCTGTGTCTGAATTGTAACCCTTGTTTTTGTGCGGAAACTGTACTAAGACTTCCAAACTAAGCATTAAAAAGCAGAGCCATGCGTGAATTGTGTTTACAGGGAAAGGGAAGTACCGTGGTACCTCAGGTTACATACGCTTCAGGTTACATATGCTTCAGGTTACAGACTCCGCTAACCCAGAAATATTACCTCGGGTTAAGAACTTTGCTTCAGGATGAGAACAGAAATCGTGTGGCGGCGGCGCAGCGGCAGTGGGAGGCCCCTTTAGCTAAAGTAGTCCTTCAGGTTAAGAACAGTTTCAGGTTAAGTATGGACCTCCGGAACGAATTAAGTACTTAACCCAAGGTACCACTGTAAAAGGATTTGCTGCCTTAACGTATTTCCTTCTGACTTGCTCTGCAGTGTGAGTGGCTGTTGGGAGACCGGAAGCCCACCCCAGAAGACTTAGACAAGGGGATAGATCCTGCCAGCCCCCTCTTCCAAGCCATCCTAGAAAACCCAGTGGTACAGTTGGGACTCACGAATCCTAAAACGCTACTCGGTCAGTACTCTTGTGCCATGGGAAATCTGTGTGGGCTGAATTAGTATAACTCTTTGTAAAGGGACCCCTGACCATTAGATCCGGTCGTGGCCGACTCTGGGGTTGTGGCGCTCATCTCGCTTTATTGGCCGAGGGAGCCGGCGTACAGCTTCCGGGTCATGTGGCCAGCATGACTAAGACGCTTCTGGCAAACCAGAGCAGCACACGGAAACGCTGTTTACCTTCCCGCTGGAGTGGTACCTATTTATCTACTTGCACTTTGATGTGCTTTCAAACTGCTAGGTTGGCAGGAACAGGGACCGAGCAACAGGAGCTCACCCCGTCTTGGGGATTCGAACCGCCGACCTTCTGATCGGCAAGTCCTAGACTCTGTGGTTTAACACACAGCGCTACCCGCGTCCCTTTGTGTTAAGCAACCCCAAATCCTGCAGTATCCCAGGAGGCTTACAAAACATGGTATTGCGTTACAGATAAGAACCTAAAGACGGCAACAAAATGGAATCTGCAGCAATTAAACTGCAAAAGTAGTTCAGCCTATTGGACCAGTTTCTTTTTGTAAGGGAATTTTCAGTCTCTCCAGTTGATGCTTGTTTTGGGCTGCTTAACTGGACTCAGAGTCCAGGTTGGAAACTGAGATGGGGAAATGCATAAAATGTTGTAGTTTATCTTGTATCTTATAAATTGAACATCCCCACCCTCCTTTCTGTGGCAGCCTTTGAAGACATGCTTGAAAACCCTTTAAACAGCACTCAGTGGATGAACGATCCAGAAACAGGGCCAGTCATGTTACAGATTTCCCGAATCTTCCAGACCCTGAATCGCACATAGGAGGAAGAGGAGGAGGAAGAAGAACAAGATGAAGAACAAGAAGAAGGGGGGAGGAGTAAACCTCCTTGCTTGTATGGTCATTTTGGACTCTTTTTGGCCCCGAGTCTCCAGAAGAACAAAAAGGGCAAATTGTTTACCAGGAGAGAGCAGAAGTAGTGTGTTGGGTGTTCACTCTTTGCATTTTGGGGTTGCTGTGTCACCCACTTTTTTGTTTGCAGTTCTGGCTTGCATACTGTGTGATTATTATTATTATTCCACACACACACACCCCGTGTTAGTGGAAGATGGTTTGAAGACTTAGGTGTTTGTTTTCTTTCAAGTGTTTCTATAGAAACAGGAAATTATACATCTAAATACATGAAAAGCTGTTCACAGTTATCTCAGAATGTGTTTATTGAAGAAATGAAAAGATAATTCATGTTTTTAATGTTCAGACTAAGTGCAGAGGCCTCTTCCTGACTGGCCCCACAGTGTCAGCTCCAGAATGTTTGTTTCTCCTCATACAGTTACCTCTGCACTGAGATAACGAACGCCATTCTGGCATTCTGTTTTTTGTCATTGTGGAATAGAGAGACCCTGGAAGTAACCTTCCTCACCCCATCTGAAGGAGCTGGCATTAAGAACATAAGAATTGGTCACCTCCAGCTTTTTCTTTCTGTCTGAAGCCCTTCTGAGGCCGGGCCTGGTTTTGGTCAGGGTTCCTTCGCAGAGAATAAAACACATCTTGCATGTGGCTGTCTGTGCTAGTTGTTTCTTGAGGGCAGCATGACCGGGTGGGGGTGAGACCAAGTGCTGTTAGACCTCTGGGAAGAGGGTTGGTTTGTGCCTACCCTAAGAGCAGATTTGGTGTAACCAAGAAAAGCTGATTTGGTGGCTAGGAACAGGGTAACTGAATCAAGGCCATTACATATATCTTCAGGAACATGTCAACGCAAGTGTTCAGGAAGGGTAGCGAAGAAGGATAAATCCTGGCATTAAGCGGCTAATATCATGTGCCTTTGGCCCTGTGGGAGAGGGGAGAAGTGTGCCGTTGTGTTAATGTTCCCTCATACTCAACTAGCAGAGAAATATTTAGCTTTGCACTCTCCCTAAGGTGCAACTAAACACCCTAGGCCAAATGAACCTATGAATTGGATATGGAGGAAGCAAAACAAAACCAGTGTGAATGCACCTATGCATGCAGAGCATTCCTAGTTCAATGCCCAGATACAGCTAGGAAAGACTCCCTGCTTGAAACTCTTGAGAGCGGCTGCCAGCCAGTGTAGGCAATACTGAGATGGATGTGACCAACATGATTCAGTATAAGGCAGTTGCTGCATGTGTTCTGTGAAATTTCTGAGCATGGATTTCACTGGAGCCTTTCCAAGCATACTTGGACAATATAACATTTCCACACATACAACAATTGCTATGGACCAGAGGAACTACTGTCATAATTTTCAAACCAAATTATTATTATCATTATCATTATCATCATTATAATATTGTTTATACCCCACCCATCTAGCTATGTTTCCCCAGCCACTCTGTGTGGCGTCCAGCAAAATACAAAAAATAATAAAATGTTAGACATTAAAAACTTCCCTGAACAGGGCTGCCTTCAAATGTTTTCTAAAAGTTGTGTAAATCTTTATCTCCCTGACATCTGATGGGAGGGCATTCCACAGCCACTGCTGAGAAGGTCCTCTGCCTCTTTTCCAATGCAGACTGGAAAGGGATCTGCACTCTCAGCAGCAGTAGATTTCGGATGGCCTTGTCTGTTTTCAGACCCTCTTTGGACAGTTTCTAGCTTGAATGCAGTTCATGCAAAGTTGGAAAAATTAAGCTCAGCAAAACAAGATTACTGAATTTTTCAGAGTATAAGTATAATACAATGTTTCTTGCTAAAAAAAGTTTGTCAAAAATTGGGGGCTGTCCTTATACATGTATGGTGAATGCACAGGAGTTTGGGTTCTGGCGTGGGTGGCTCAGGTTCTAGTTCTGGTTCGGGCAGTCCAGGCTCGGGTTGGGTTCTGGCATGGATGTTTAAAATATTGATTTCTTAATTTGGGGTTCAGAAAAATAGAGGCCATCTTATACATTGGGGCGTCTTATACACAGTACTACCCTTGTTTAGAGGTGGAAGCTTTTCTTTTGTCAATTAATTGACCCTTAGCTTGAAAGGAACTTTATACATTCAGAAAAGAGCATAGAGGAAGGAAGAATCCTTGCACACTGAAAAGTAGCAGTCATTTTTAGGAGGAGGCTCGAACCCTTCTCCTTGACACACTAGCTTTCTTAGCATGAGGTTCCTGACTAGGCAAATGATTCATCCTAGCCATCCTTTCCTTGCATCCTGAAGTCATATAGTTCCATGAAGGCTGCATCATGGGTTTTTTGTAAATAGGTCCCAAATAACAGAACAGGGAGTTGGAACTGTTGACCAGAAATAATACTACAGATTAAAACTGTTGCATATACAGGAAAGAGGGCAGGTTGGACTATTACACTCATCCTAAAGTGAAAAGGTGGGATGAAATTGGCTATCTGCAGGTGTTAATAGATGTGTGTTTCAATCTCTACTTGTCCTGTGGTTTATTGCTGTAGATCAAGCATGTCCAACAGGTAGATTGTGATCTACTGGGTGTTCCTGGTAGATTTGGCCCCTCAGTGATCTCCCTCCTCCCCAAAAGGGGAAAAAAACCCACTGTGGCTTCCTGAAAATAGCTCAGCAACTTCGCCTTTCCCAAAAAAGCTGAACAACTCTAAAAAAAGCTGAACAACTTTGGACCATCCAACAACAATGGGTAGATCACTGCCACTTTTCCTATACTGTGAGTAGATCACAGTCTGTAGACTATTGCATAGGTTTGACAGGAGACCTTCCACAATGAACTCTGCTGATCTTACTCTTGGTACAAGTCTGATCTCCAGATGTGTCCCGAAGGCATTCAGGAAACATCATGAGTTCCTCACACCTTGCATAAAGGTCAGCATGTGTACATTTTGTTCCTAGTTGTCTTTGGTAATCACTCGTAGCTGAGTAAGATTCCATGAACATGGTCTTAAGAGTGAGTCCGTAAGTGACTGTGGAGGCCAATTCTGGATCCACACATCCTTCCACACTGGAGATGTAAGTTTCCAGGTAGGAGTTGATCACAGTGAGGGTTTGCCAAATGTGCTTTCCTCTTAGCATGTTTCTCCCTTTTGTCCTGAGTTCAAGCATCTTCAAAGCCCATGACACCTTTGGTAAAGGCTGTTCTCCAACTGGAGCGCTCGCAGGCCAGTGTTTCCCAGTTGTCAGTGTTTATATTACATTTTTAAAGATTTGCCTTGAGGGTCTTCATACTACATTTTTAAAAGATTTTCCTTGAGAGAGTCTTCGTTGGCAACCAGCATTATGCTTTCCATTTTTAAGAATAGAGTAGTTGCTTTGGAAGATGATAATCAGGAATCCGAATAACATGACCAGTTCAACGAAGTTAATGTTGAAGAATCATTGCTTCAACACTGGTAATCTTTGCTTCTTCCAGTACACTGGCATTAGTTCACCTGTCTTCCCAATGTGTAAAAATTTTCAGTGACACTGTAGATGGAATTTTTCAAGGTGTTGGAGATGGCGCTTATAAATGGTCCAAGTTTCATAAGGATACAGTAAGGTTGGTAGTACAATAGCTTTGTAAACAAGCATTTTGCTTTCCCTGCAAATGTCCTGGTCCTCAAGCACTCTGCACTTCAATAGGGAGAAAGCTGCATTCACAGAGTTCAGGTGATGCTGGATTTCGGCATCAATGTTGGCCCTTGTGGAAAGATAACTACGCAGGGCGGAGAAGTGATTAACACTTTCCAACATGACACCGTTGAGTTGGATTTGTGGCACTGCAGAGTTGTTGTTTTGTGCTTGTTGGTGCAGCACTTTGGTTTTTTTGGATGTTGAGTGATAGGCTAAGCTTTTCATAAGCTTCTATGAAGGTATTTAAGATGGTTTGGAGGTCATCCTCTGAGTGTGCACACATTACGTTGTCATCAGTATACTGAAGCTCTATAACAGAACTTACAGTAACTTTACTTTTTGCTTTCAGCCTACTCAGATTGAAGAGCTTTCCATCTGTTCGATACATGATTTCTACTCCAGTGGGCAGTTTCCCTTTGCCAAAGTGTAGGATCATGGCAATGAAAATAATAAACAGAGTTGGGGTTGTTTAACACCTGATCCCATTGTGAATGATTCACTTTGAGAGCCATTGTTATCTGCTGGTTGTTGCTGTCATATTATCATGGAGGAGCTGAATGATGTTTATACATTTATCTGGGCAGCCAATTTTCAGAAGGACAGTCCACAGAGCATTACAATTTACAGTGCCGAAGGCCTTAGGTCAATAAACACCATATACAGGGGTTGGCTTTGCTCTCTGCATTTTTCTTGAAGTTGTTGAGCGGTGAAAATCATGTCCACTGTCCCCATAGAAGTCCTAAAACCATTTTGGGATTCAGGAAGGGTAGCCTCGGATATTGTTAGGTTTGCTAAGATCCTTGCAATAATTTTGCTGGCTGCAGCAAATAAAGAGATGCCTTGATAGTTTCTGCAATCCGTTCTATCACCTTTTTTAAAGAAACTGATAATTTTGGCATCCCTAAAATCTGCTGGAATCTCCTCTCCCAGATTTTTTCGATGAGCTTGTGAAGTTGTGTAAGTTCAATTCTTCCCACTTTGAAGACTCATCAGGTATCTCATCAGGTCCTCTGGCTTTGTTGTTTTCTCATTTGGTTAATAGCTGTGCACAACTCTCCCAGATTTGGAGATACTAAGCTGATCTCTAATTTGTTTTTGTGGAATTTGTAACCTCAGCAACTATGGGGGAGCTGCAGTTAAGGAGATGCTGGTAATGTTCTTTCCAGTGCTTCTTTGTCTTTTAGAAGTGTGGTACCATCTGTTGAGCGTAGGGGGCGTATGCCATTATTTATTGGCCCATAGATGGTCTTTGTGGCAAAGCCTACTCCGTGTATTTAACATTCTTGTTCTGGTAGGCCTTTCCAGAAGAATGTGTAGCCTCCTTTTTGTTCCTTCAGTTGTCACTCTCCTGCTCTTGAAACTCATTCTTGAAGCACTGCCATAATAATGTTAAAACGTCGCAACTCTCTTGCTTTTTTTTAATGGGGATATTTGAGGTTCTACTTTGGCCAGCAGGGGGTACCAGAGCCTCGAGAACAAAATCTAGTTCCCTTCCCTTCCAGCTGTGGAGTAAGGTGGGATTCTGACTGCTAGGGTAAGGAAACTGGTGTGGTTTGAGTCTTACCAAACACAGTCATTTGCTCAGGTGCAAGTCCAGGGAAGGTGGAGGGTGTGTGTGGAAAAAGCAAAGGAAGAGTAGTGCCTATTGAAACCACTGTGGAGCCAGCCTGGGCACAACTGTGCATTAGGTAGTTCCTTCTTTAGTTTATGTGGGACATGGGTGGCGCTGTGGGTTAAACCACAGAGCCTAGGACTTGCCAGTCAGAAGGTCAGCGGTTTGAATCCCCGCGACGGGGTGAGCTCCCGTTGCTCGGTCCCTGTTCCTGCCAGGGAACCTAGCAGTTTGAAAGCACGTCAAAGTGCAAGTAGATAAATAGGTACCGCTTCGGCGGGAAGGGAAACGGCGTTTCCGTGCGCTGCTCTGGTTTGCCAGAAGCGGCTTAGTCATGCTGGCCACATGACCCAGAAGCTGTACGCCAGCTCCCTCGGCCAATAAAGCGAGACGAGCGCCACAACCCCAGAGTTGTCCGTGACTGGACCTAATGGTCAGGGGTCCCTTTACCTTTACCTTTTCTTTAGTTTATACCCCTCTGGGGGGAACAGTCTCTTAAGTGCCAAGACAGACAGAGCCCAGATTGAGACCCACAACTAGTGATGTTAAATTCTCGAGAATAGTCTTTAAATGTACACACCTCATTAATCGAGAATATTCTCGAGAATATTCTCGATTATTGAAGTGTGTACATTTAAAGCAGCTGTGTAGATGACACAGAATTTACAGTTTGTGGATGATATTCTCCAGAGAATTTTCTAGCAGAGAATATTCTCACCCCACCTCACTACCCACAACTGCCTCTAGGCACAGCAGGATCCTGGATGCTGTGGAAGGGGTTTATCCAGGGGTTTCCCTTACCATTTCACCCCCTGAGGTGAAACGAGAATATGCTGCCCTGTGCATGCACTGCACCCCTACCCCTTTGCCAAAGCCTCACTTACTGGGGTCATGCAGCTGTGGCTTCCAGGTTCTGGAAAGAACTTGCAAGAGCCCTCTGAGATTGTGAGAACCCTGGGAGATTGTCAAGATGCATCTCTACAATCTCGAGGGGCTCTTGCATGATCTCGCTGGATTCTGGAAGCTGCAGCAGCCACTTCTCCATGCTTCTCTTCTGGCGAACAACTGTGTAGCAGAGATTGCCAAGTAAAAGCTAGCACACACCATGCACTCACAGTAATTACATTGGCTACAAGTTGTGCACTCTCTGAGCCCAGAGAGAGTTATTTGCTTTCAAAGTCCTTGTTGTGCCAAAGTCCACAAGGTACGTGCTAAGTCTAGCTGCTTTCAAAGTCCTGCAACTTTCAGAGTTCTCTGAGTCCAGACATCTTTTAAGTTGTCCAACTTCTTTCTGGTGAACGCTTCTCTTCACAAAGTTTTCTAAATATTTCCAACAAATTCTCCTACAGGGAAATGCCGTAACTTGAGCCCTTTACATACCCAGCTCTATGTGCTTATCTGCACAGCAACACAGTAAAGACAAGAGTTACAAGAGTCTGCAGCTGCACCTGCACCGTGTGTGGGGAATCATTTCTGCCCACTCAAGTGAAATTAACATTTTTTCACTTTCCCCCTCCCTCCCTTCTTGAAAGGAGCCTTTCCCCAACTAAACTGCACCTGGTGCGTGTGTGCAGCTCTTCCTTGAAAGTGCTGATGGGGTAACAGGCTTTGCTTAGTGTGCTTTTGGGACTTGCTAGTGATCATGAAGGTGCTCATGTCTGCCAACTGCTTCTTTCCCCTGGACCAAATGCAGAGGTTGTACGCTTTGGGCTTTCTTTGACATTGCCTGCATGATCTCTAAACATCCAGAAGTGGAACATTGCTCCAGGATTGGCCAAGTCAGGAGGTGTGCCTGGGGATTCTGCTGTGGTCACTGCTGCCACTACTGCTGAGCATTGACCCTCAAGCCTGATAATCATGTGATCCTCTAAGCTGATCTGAGGATCATAGGCTGGCTTACAATATAAAAACACAAAAATATGTACCATAACAGAGGAGGCACATGAAGAAGGGCCTCAGATGATAATCAACAGCTTAATAACTCTACTTAAAAACTTCCAAGGAGCGAGAATCCACAATGTTCCCCAGACCTTAAACTTTATTATGAATCAGCAGCTTTTTGCTGGCTGAAAGAATGGCTGCTTCTTGAAAACACAGACATTTTGGACTTAGAAGGTTTTAATAATGTATTTGGATGGCATGCATATTTGTGGTATGATAAGGTCAAAGCACATAAAGCATTTAAAAAATCATATTGTCAGGAAAGCATTGTTTAATGTCTGGATAAGATATAAGGATCTATTGGAAAATAAAACCCCAAGGTGGCTGTCACCAATGGAAGCGAAAGCACAGAAAAAGCTCAATATGGAGGCCAAATGGCCGAAATATTGGGAAATTCTGGAACAAGAGGGAGATAGATTGAAACTGCAGAGTTTTGAGAAACTAAAAAACAAAGTGCGAGATTGGCTTCATTATTATCAGATAATGGAGGCATATAATTCGGACAAGAAAATTGGCTTCCAGGTGGAAAAATCAAAATTAGAAACAGAACTGTTAGAACCCAAAACTAAGATTTTGTCAAAGATGTATAACTTGCTGTTGAAATGGAATACTCAGGATGAAACGGTGAAATCTGCTATGATTAAATGGGCACAAGATGTTGGACATAACATAATGATGGCTGACTGGGAACAGTTATGGACCACAGGTATGAAGTTTACGGCATGTAATGCCTTAAGAGAGAATATTATGAAAATGATATACAGGTGGTACATGACACCAGTCAAGCTTGCAAAAATCTATCATTTGCCCGATAATAAATGTTGGAAATGTAGAGAAACTGAAGGTACATTCTATCACCTTTGGTGGACGTGCCCAAGGATTAAGGCTTTCTGGGAGATGATTTATAATGAAATGAAAAAGGTATTTAAATATACCTTCTTGAAGAAACCAGAGGCCTTCCTCCTGGGCATAGTCGGCCAATTGGTGCCAAAGAAGGACAGAACTTTCTTTATGTATGCCACAACAGCAGCAAGAATACTTATTGCAAAATACTGGAAGACACAAGATTTACCCACCCTGGAAGAATGGCAGATGGACTATATGGAATTGGCGGAAATGACTGGCAGAATCCGAGACCAGGGAGAAGAGTCGGTGGAAGAAGATTGGAAGAAATTTAAAGACTATTTACAGAAATACTGCAAAATTAATGAATGTTAGAATGATGTCAGAATGAAGTTAAGTGGTTTTAGCAGCAATGTCATAAAGGTGTATGTAAAAATGGATTGTTAATAGGTGAGAATCCAAAGCTATAATATATTAAGTTAAAGGATTAAGACAAAAACAAAGAGGGAAAGGAATTGCTGAATTAACCAACTGAACTGGAATACAAAAAAGGGAGGTGAGAGGAGGTCAGGGAAGCAAGGAAATGAAATGTAAGGTACGGAAAGATTGATTTGTTTTTAAGTGTTTTTTATTTTATTTTTTTCTGTATTTTGTATTTTGTATTTTTTTCCTTTTTCCTTTTTTCTCTTGTTTCTTTTCTTTTTATCTATGTAATCTTTTGTTTCTGAAACTTTAATAAATATCATTTTTTTAAAAAAGAGAGAATCCACAACGTTCCAAGGGAGTCCATTCCACTGTTGAACAGCTCTTATCATTAGAAAGTTCTTCCTGATGTTTATTCAGAATCTCCTTTCTTGTAATGTGAAGCCATTGCTTTGGTCCTACCCTCCAGATCAGGAGAAAACAAGCTTGCTCAGTCTCCTATTTGACAGATTTAAAATGGATTTCAACCCATCCATTACCACTGATGTCTCTGGATTTTTACATTGGGCTGGGGTGAGGCCCTGGGTGGGACCCTCTGGCAGAAAGGAAAGCTTAGCTAGGAGAGGGATTCTAGTCCAGAGCCATTTCCCTTTCCCACCGGAATGTCTCAATGGCTGGAAATAAATTACCATGAACCATGCTGCTTTAATCACCCATCCCTACTCCCATGGCATTGCTAATCACAAACCAGTGAAATGTTGAACTTCGTTTGGGAAAACAGTAGTGGAGAGATGGAATTGGTCAAACGCTGTAAGCGTAAAGCTGCAGGAAAGGGGAAATCCCCACCTTTCCAGGGCATGCTGATGAGGAGGAGATTGTGGAATCGGGGTGTGCTGCCCCTGTCCCTGCAGTCCTGTTAATCTGGAACTGGAGAGTGTGTGATCTTTTGACTAAGCACAGTGCTTGCGAGTTGTGGAATATCTGCTCCTCTGAATGGGGACACTGAGCTGGGTATCTGACTTCTAGCCAGGCAAGGAGAGCTGGGGGTCTCCTTGAGTTGAGCTGTAGATTGGTTACTATGGAGACTGGCTAATGAAGCCCTTGGCAGCAGCTGCCTTTGACGATGAGCGCATCCCCTGATTCAGAAGCAAAAAGCAATTACAGCTGTGTGTGTTTGCACGCGCGTGCGCAAGCACGTATGGGCAGGAGGAAGATGAGCTCCAAGCTGATGCAGCTCTTTTGTGGTGGGAGGGGGCAATGCTCAGTGAGTCAGAGGTCTCCCTCAGCATGTCAAAGGGCTTGCCAGGCCCCACCACAGGCAAAAGAAAATGCAGGATTTTGCATCTCTGATAGAGAGCCGGAGTCGGCTGTAAAGAGATCACAACAATGGAACCATACTTCGCTATGCACATGGCTTCCCGAATCCCCCCTGGAATATAAATTTTAAGCCTCTCCTGGCACTCCTGCCAGTACAGAGCTGCTGTTACTGCACACGTTGGCAGCCTCCTCACCACTCTTTCAGAGCTGTGCTTTTGTGCCTTTATTAAATGGGTCACCATAAAACATCCAGGTGCCAAAGGTCCTTGGCTTCTTCAATGCTTGGATGATTTCCTTTACAGGCTGAGAAGAAAAATGACCCGTCAGAACCACTGGCCTTTTGTCTTGTTTCCTTACAACCATATGCTTCTTAAGGGATCCGTGGGGCTGGCCAGCAAGCAAGGGCCACAGTCAGCCGTAGGTAACCATCAGACTTGATTCCAGTGGCGTAGTGTGGGTTGCCAGTGTCCGGGGCCACATGGAGGGATGGGGCAGGTGGGAGGGAGGGAAACAGGTGGAATACTCATACACATTCAACTGCCTTAGGGAATCCATGTGACCCAGGAGATTGCAGCTGCAGAGATACGAAGTCATTCCATGGTCTGAAGAGATCACTTCTTGATTTGCATGGAGAAGCCATTTTCAATGGAGACCAGCAATGGAAACATGCAGCTGTATTGAGGCAGCACCAGGTGTTGAAATTTTGTGCCCCTAACAATTTTACACCTGGGGCAAATGCCCCTGTGGTCCCTTCCCATGATATGCCACTGCTTGATCCAAAGCTTTGACTTTTGCACAATTGCCCCTTCAGCAATTTCATTTCATTCATTCTGCCAGAAAAGCCTATGGTAAGCAAAAGTGTAATGTAAGAAGAGCCCTGCTGGATCAGGCCAATAACGCATCTAGCCCAGCATCCTGGTCTCACAGTGGCCAACTGGATGCCCCAAAGGGAAACACACAAGCAGGAACTAAGCACAAGAGAACTCCCCCCACCCCTGGTTTCTATGAACTGGTATTCAGAAACATTACTGCCTCTAGAAGTAAGACTTTTCCTTTATTGTTTATTTATTTGATTTCACAAAATCTAGGCACCACTTGATTGTAAATAACACACACACACACACACACACACACACACACACACACACCCCAAAGCAGTTTCCAAAAGCAATAAAATCATCACAAAGAAAAAGGAACAATAATTTAAGACTATTGAAAAGTTAAAATAACAATAGACCGAAAACAGATTAAAACCCTTTTTTCCCCTACCACGCTTAATTTTATGCACTTCTACCAAGTTGACATATAAAACTCTAGAACTGATTAAGAACGTGCCAGATTCCTCCATAGAATCATGCAGGTGTTTAAGCAACCACATTCATACCTATGATGCCAGGCACATTCATCACTGTGGCTGCTGTGGGGGGGGGGGGATAGAGCAGCCATGGAAATGTCTCTGGACTCCCTTCTATATGACAGCCCCTCTACACACATATACAAACATGTGGAGAAATTTGTCAGGGTGACCTGGCTCTGAGAGAGCAAACAGTTCAAGCTGTTTCAAAAAGGAATCCATACAAATAAGAAGGCAAGCCAAGGAAATGCCACGTGGGTGGCCGAAATCAGATGTCAGACGAGCCAGGAGCCTTTGTGTAGCAGAGAACAGCACTGAAGAATGTATCCCAAGTGATGCAGCATTGATGAAAGGGCAAAGGCCTTCTTGTGTGTGGGAGGATGTTCAGCCAAAATCACGAATGCATGATTATTAGTCACAAACAGGGGCAATGGCACCATGGAGTTTCAGAACCTGTATAGAGAAGACCTTTATAGCGGGGATATCATAGTCATACCCCCAAACCTAGTGGTGGGATCAGACAATGGACTAATCCGCACCTCTTCCTTCCTGTCATTACTCACCCTTTTCCTTACCTGCAATGAGGTCTGATGTCTGTAAGCTCTCCTCCAGATCGCACATGCCATTTTGAACTGGACTACGGACTTTTATAAAGTTTAAGAATTATTGCCTGCCTGATTTTCATGTTGAATTCTGGCAAGACTTTACTGATATGATGAACCTTTTTGTTTTCTTGTTTTACTTAAAGAGGCTGAGATTGATTGCTTGGTTAAGAGGGAAACCTAAAAAGGGAGAAGATAATTCAAGTCCGCCTAATGCAACATTGGATATCTAGAAGGCTATGCAAATTTGCCCTAATAGCTTCTACAGATAAGCTGAGCATGGGTGGTGATTTTTGTGGGACATTATTGCAGTCAAGCCTGCAATTCATGTTTTGCCAGATGCACACATGAAGAGGCTGAGGCTCATAGAGGTTTTCTGAAAGAAGAAGAAGAAGAAGAAGAACAACAACAACAACAACAACAAACTGCTGGAGAGAACTCTGTGAGGTCACTTCCTTTGTCTGCCTTGGCAAGAAGTTGTGACACTACAGCCTGCCTGCCAGCCTGCCTGCCTTCCCCTCTCTGTCTCTTTCTTCATCATGCTTCCAAATTGACCAGCTCCAACACTTGAACTTTCATCTTGTATTTCCTTTTACTATACAAAGTTATTATTGTACTTTGCCAGATCTTAACCTATTACAGTATTTGTAAGAATGGATTCCAAATACAGTGGTACCTCAAGTTAAGAACTTAATTCGTTCTGGAGGTCCGTTCTTCACCTGAAACTGTTCTTAACCTGAGGTACCACTTTAGCTAATGGGGCCTCCCGCTGCCACCACACGGTTTCTGTTCTCATCCTGAAGCAAAGTTCTTTTTTTAAAAAAATAAATAAATCATTTTTATTAGCAATCTCAACATACATAAATAAATTCTTTGTTTTTCTTGGCAGGACTTGTCCTACAATCCCTAACAAAAATGCTTCTGGTTTCTTTACAAATGTCATTTTAAACATTTTTCCAATTCATTATACAGTGGTACCTCTGGTTGCGAATGGGATCTGTTCCAGAGGCCTGTTCGCAACCTGAAAAGAACACAACCCACGCCTGCACGTCTGCGCATGCGCGGGTCATGATTCACCACTTCTGTGCATGCGCGTGATGTCATTTTGCCTGCCTGCGCATGCGCAAGTGGTGAAACCCGGAAGTAAGCCGTTCTGGTACTTCCGGGTCGCCGCGGGACGCAACCTGAAAATGCTCAACCTGAAGCAAACGTAACATGAGGTATGACTATATATCATTTCCCTTTTTAAAAAAAATTCTCTGCATTCCCACCACATATGATAAAAGGTCCCTGCTTTTTCTTTACATTTCCCACATATATTTGAGCCGGTTTTATAAATTTTTGCGGTCTGTACTGGTGTAATACACCATCTATACATCATTTTCATGTAATTTTCTTTCAAGAGAGAACAATCTGTAAATTTCAAGTTTATTTTCCACAATTTTCCCCAGTCTTCAAATTGTATATTATGTCCTATATCTTGTGCCCATGTGATCATAACCGCTTTGAGCTCCTCATCTTTTGTTTCCCATTCTAGCAAAATATTATATGCTTTCTTCAACAGCTTCAATTCTTCTTCTATAACTTCCTTTTGAAATCTAGAAGTTGTATAACTAAACCCTTTCTTATTATCCTCCTTGTACATCTCATGTAGTTGTCTGTAATGTAACCAACTCTGAAAATGATCTTTAATTTCCCAGTAAACTTTTAGCTTCCATCTCTCTTCTTGATCCTTCAGCAAATCTCTGTATGTAGGCCACTTCCCTTTTTTGCCAAGCAGTTTGAGTAATGAAGCTTCAATTGGTGATAACCGCCATGGTGTTTTTTTGTTCTATTCTTTATATCTCTCCCACACCCTTATTAGTGATCTCCTAATTATATGATTGTAGAATCCTTTGTGGACTTTCACTTTCCCTCTACCGTAAGTATGCATGCCATCCAAATCTGTTATCATGTCCTTCCAAATCTAATGCTTCCTCCTTTCCAGTTTTATCCAGTCCCTAATTCATACCAAACATGCAGCCTCGTAGTATAATTTGAGGTCTGGGAGGGCAAA